TTTAGCAGCGTGACACGCCCGTCCACACAGGCACCAGCAGCGAACTCTGTCTCAGGGCGTCGGGCAGGATGCGCTATGCCAAACACAGCTAGCACCCAACAGTCGTCCAGCCAAACAGAGCAGCAGACATTCTGCTCCGTCGTCACGGAGGGTTCTCCGTCCACGGAAGAGGAGTGCTACGCCTCCCAGAGCACCCACGTGACCATCAGCCTGAGGACGATACCGGTCACCATCAAGCACGGCGACACAAGCATTCACGTCAATGCACTGTTGGACGATGGCAGCACCATGAGCTACATCAGTGAGGGCGTAGCACACGAACTTGGTCTGCACGGGGAGTTGCAGAGCATCACGGTCAACACGTTGGACGGAACACCGAGTACATTTCAGTCGGTGCATGTGTCTTGCAGCGTAGCAAGTGTCAACGGCATGTTCAGCACAGACCTCCATGCTTGGACAGTGCGGCACCCAACAGGACGCCTGAAGCCAGTCAACTGGCACCGCGGCGCATCGACATGGCCACATCTCAAAGGGATACGTTTCCCTCCCACCGCCAAGCCTGATCGAGTCGACGTTCTGCTCGGCCTGGACTGTGTCGCAGCGCACCAGTCCTTGCACGAGGTGACTGGTAAGCCGGGTGAACCAGTCGCACGGCTCACCCCGCTAGGATGGACCTGTGTGGGGCCGGTACGGGCGAGCCCAGGCAGTTCGCGTATGGGGCATGCGTACCATGCGCAGCTGCAGCTCGGCGGCAATGAGATCAGTCAGCTACTGCGTCGCTTCTGGGACGTCGAGGAGCTAGCCGTACCCGACTTGCCACACTTGTCACCGGCGGAGGAGAAACTGCTCACAAAGACACGGGAATCCCTGGCGTTCAGCGACGGTCGATATCATGTGGGCCTTCCGTGGAAGACAACACCACCGGTCCTGCCCGACAACTTCGCCATGGCACGCAAACGACTGATTGGCACCGAGCGGAAGCTGCTCCTAACGGACGGTCTGGGTACCAAGTACAGCGCCATCATCCAAGAGTACTTGGCAAAGGGCTATATCCGCCGTGTGCCGAAGGAGGAACCACGACCACACAGCATCTGGTACCTGCCTCACTTTCCGGTGGTCCGTCTGGACAAGCAGACAACGAAAGTGAGGATTGTGTTTGATGGGTCGGCGCAGTTCCAAGGCGTCGGAGTGAACGACTTCCTCAACAAGGGGCCGAAGCTGCAACGGGACATCTGCGACGTGCTCCTGCGGTTCCGCAAGCATCCTGTTGCTATTGCCTGTGACATCAAGCAGATGTACCTGCAGATTGGTGTGCACAAATCCGACCGGCCATACCAACGATTCCTATGGCGCAACTGTGATTCCGATGCGCAGCCTGCAGTGTATGAGTTCCAGCGTGTGGTATTCGGACTCGCCTCATCACCATTCCTCGCTCAGTTCGTCTCCCAGGAGCATGCGAGGGTGCTCACCAGTACGGATGAACGTGCGGCTGAAGCAGTCAACAAGTCCACATACATGGACGACACGCTTGATTCCGTGCCAACCGTCGCTGATGGCATCGCACTCTACAAGTCTCTTGTGAAGGTGTGGGAGTCGGCCGGCATGCACCCGACGAAGTGGCTCTCAAACTCGACCGAGCTTCTGGCAGTGATACCTGAGTCAGAACATGGACGCTCCATCGACCTGTCACCAGGGGAGCTGCCAAGAGTGAAGACGCTAGGCATCTCGTGGTCCGCTGCTAGCGACGCTTTCAGTTTTGCCATCCCACCGGATTCCGGCCAGGAGTTCAGCAAGCGGAGAGTGCTACAACGGGTAGCATCCGTCTTTGACCCGCTGGGTCTGCTGGCGCCGTACATCATTCGAGGCAAGATGCTCATCCAGGAACTGTGGCTGCGAGGCTCGACCTGGGACGACCCACTGGAGCCCTCTGTGGACAAGCTGGTGAAGGAGTGGATTGCTGATGCGCGGGATCTGCAGACGCTACGCATTCCAAGACCACTCATGGCAGCTGACGGTGTGTCGTCGCTGCACGTATTCGCAGATGCCTCCGAGAAGGCAATGGGTGCTGTCGCCTACATCATTTCCAAGGACCCCAGTGGAGCTACATGCCGGCTGGTTGCAGCTAAGTCTAAAGTCGCCCCGCTGGAAGCGGTGAGCATCCCACGACTAGAGTTGATAGCCGCCGTCATGGCAGCCCGTTTGGCAGCCGTCATCAGCCTTGCTCTCGAGAATCAGGATATCTATCTGTGGTCTGACAGCATGAACGTCCTCTGGTGGATCCATGGTCACAGTCGGCAGTTCAAGACATTCGTGGCCAATCGCGTCTCTGAGATTCGTCGTCTCACACAGCCAGAGCAATGGCGGCATGTGACCACTGACCAGAACCCCGCAGATCTGGTCTCTCGTGGGTGTACTGCAGCAGTGCTGACATCATCGGACCTATGGTGGACTGGGCCCGCATTCCTGTCAACCGACGAGCCATGGCCTGCCAGCCCTACGCTTCAGCCCAGCTCCGGCGCTCGGCAGGAGGTAAAAGGTTTGCCACGCAACCGCTCGCAGGACATGCAAACGTATCATGCAGACGTCCAAAGTGCCAACGATGCACCACCCGAGCAGGATTGGATCATTGACCCAGCAAAGTGGCTAGACTGGCAGAAGACCATCCGTACGCTCACATGGGTCCGGCGGTTCATCTCGAACTGCCGTGCAGCAGCAGAGGATCGCCTGGCAGGAGAGCTCACCCCGATTGAGTTGGCTGACGCAGAGCTGTACGTCGTTCGGAACACGCAGCGTGATGCGTTCGCTGCTGAGATAGTCCTCCTGAGGAAACGCAAAGCAGTGCATGCTACCAGTAAGCTGGCCAAGCTGTGTCCATTTCTTGACGACGATGGTGTTCTACGCTGTGAAGGGCGCTTGCAGTATGCGGAGTTCCTGCCACGAGACGCTGTCCATCCGATCATCCTGCCGCGGAAGCATGCCGTGACCAAGATGCTAATCAGGTTCCAACACGAGAAGGGAAAGCACGCTGCGGGGACGAACGCAACATTGTCTGCGCTCGCCGCCCGCTATTGGGTCATCGCCGCACGGGAGGCCGTCCACGAGTGGGAACAGGAATGCGCAGTCTGTCGCCGGTACCGGAGCAAGCCAGCTGGGCAACGAATGGCACCGCTGCCGGTCAGTCGGATCGTGCCCTCTCATCGTGCGTTCAGCCGCGTGGGCGTCGACTACGCCGGCCCCTTCCTCACCATGCAGGGACGCGGTCGGGCCAGAACCAAACGCTATCTGTGTGTATTCACGTGTCTGGAGACGCGCGCTGTACATCTGGAGCTCGCATTCTCACTCGACACATCTAGTTTCATCAACTGTTTCTTCCGGTTCGTGAGCCGGCGCGGCCTTCCCAATCAAGTCATATCGGACAATGGCACAAACTTTGTTGGTGCAGTTCGGGAGCTGAAGGACCTCATTCGCAACATCGACCAAACCAAAATCCAGACGGGCACCGCACATCATGGTGTGTCCTGGTCGTTCAACCCTCCAGCAGCACCTCATTTCGGTGGTGTGTTCGAGATTATGGTGAAGGCAGCCAAACGTGCTATTTACCACATTCTGTCTGGCAGTGACATCACCGACGAGGATCTGCTGACCGCCTTTGCCGGAGCAGAGGATCTGATCAACTCTCGCCCGATCACTGCCATATCAGTCAACCCCAACGACAATTTGCCCCTCACCCCGAATCATTTTCTGAACGGGAGACTTGGAGAAGTCGTCCTACCGGAGTCTGATCATCCGCGTCAGCGATGGCAACGCATTCAGGAGCTGCTTGGGCATGTCTGGCGTCGCTGGATCCAGGAGTGGCTGCCTCAGCTCAGCAAGCGGGTCAAATGGACGGCAGACCAACGCAACGTGAAGGTTGGTGATGTCATGCTGTTGCTGTCTCCAGACACCGCTAGGCGTAAATGGCCCTTGGCTCGGGTTCTGGAAGTCTACCCCGGGAAGGATGAACGAGTACGTGTTGCCAAGGTGCAGGTGGGTGATCGTACTCTTGTGCGACCCATCAACCGCTTGTGCCCACTGGAGTATGCGCCAGAGTGATGGACTGATGTGGACAGCTTTTCTGCTGTCTGTCTTCTAAAAATCATTGCATGTCCTCTATCTTCTTATTATTATTAGTCAGCGGTATTGCTATATCTTTACCCTGCTGCGGACCTGCTGTCTAGCCACCTGGACTTGCTTTGCTAAGTACACGATGTTGGGTTCTTAGTGGTGGAGCTAGTAAGGTACTATTTATTTTGTTTTATTTCGATCTGGTCACGTTGTCTCATATCGAGGAAGAGGAGAATGTTACGGAGGTAGCCTCAATTGAAGTATTATTCGTTCTCGTTCTGCTTCTTTGAATGTTGCTGAACAGTTTTCCTCTCCATGCTCTGCTAAATCGTTGCCTGTACGCGCCACGTCTAGCGCCTTGTTTCTACGCTAGCACTTAGCACCTTATTCGTCATCACGCGCTCTTCTTATCTACATGCATGTGCTAAGTGTTGGTGTAGAGGCAGGGTGTTGGATGTGGCCGTCGCTCTTGCTATATAAGTTCATCGGAGCGTAGGCACAGTTGTTGTTTTCCAAAGTTCTGCTTGTGATGGTATTCTTCTGAATGGTCATCGAAGTAAATCTGAGTATGGTTCAAGACAGTTAGTTGCCTTTCGAGAATATCTCTGGGTTTATGAGCCACAACGAGTTCGAGCATACAATAATGTATTGCCATGATTTTCTACCCTGCTTTTCATTGAAAACACTATCTCCATGACCTCCGAACCCTTTACCATGCAGACCACCAGCACTGATCAGGTGCATTGTACACAATTGTGTAGCCTACATACTAGAACTGCGGTACAATCATGTAGTTATGCTCCAACCTCCGAAAGGATGCCAAATTATGCTCCAAATTTTCAACCACCAAATTATGCCAATAATTATGCCAGCATAATCCGCCGGTGCCTATCAGGGACTTACATTATACATTATACATGTACATGTACAAGAGGGCGGAGGGTGCGTCGGCAAAGAAAGGAAGTAATTTCAAAAGGAGGGAAAGAGCGACAGACGGAGACAGCGACAGATACCGGTAGCCAGAAACAGCGACATACAGACAGGCAGTGCGCGTACGTGCGTGTGCATGTACATGTGTATTCTAAAAATGTTCACTCTAATTGTTTGTGCGAGTTATCGATTCCAGATCATTATATCGGATCAACTGGGTGATCAGCACTGGTATGAATAGAGGCCATGTACAATAATGATTTATTACGTTGCAGTACGCATTGCTGGTGAACCTGATAGTCTACATGCACGTTTGTACAATCATGTAGATGTAGATGTACATGTACATTGTGCACAGGCGAATCGAATTGAGTACATGTACATGTACATGTACATGTACAATGGAAGTACAAAATGGCTAGCTTTTGTGATACGAAGCTCGGATGTTGATCCAATAATAGATGTAGAAAGGAAAAGGACAAACATGTATGGATACGAGTTCCGAGTAACTGTCCACTACTATAACTAGATGCTATATACATGTACAGTCAGAAAGTGCAATAACTAGGCACACAACTGACCGAGTACTGAGGCACTCGACATTACTACTTGTATGACCTTTCTCTAGAGCGACGCTGTGGTAGAAGCTGGTCTTGGCAATGATGTGAACGTTGCACCGGGACAGAAGCAAAACAGCCTAACAGGAGCCGGGCTGTGATTTGTTCTTTATCTGCTATTTCTTTATTTCTTTACAACCTTTCACAAGCAAGCGATTCTGTTCTAATGACATTCATGATTGTACTGGTGAGGTGCCTTACTCCTTAGCGATACATCAGCCAGATTGTGTCCGAGCTGTAACAGGTTCCTGCAATACACTTTCGACCCCTAGCCGCTGCGGTGTTTGAGTAACGATACTTGTTTGTGCCGTCAGGCGTATCCCACATTCCCAGCCAATGGTCAGTCCATGCGAAGTTCTCCGCTATCCCATTGGATTTGAAATGGAGCTTGGGAATAGTATAAAAGTTAGCTGCCGGGCTGCGTCGGTTGTGGTTGTGGAGCGAAAACGAATAGAATCCGCCCACTTTGCGGAACATCTCGGCTCTGCCGCGCTTACCACACGTGAGAAAGTTGTCAAAATCGGCATTGCCATGACTACGCGTGTAGATCAAACGAGACTTGCCACCATCCTTCTTGAATCTGAAAATAGAAGGGGAAATATTATTTTTGAACAAAGGTTTTAGGAGACGCAACGAACTAAGATCAAGCTCCGACGTTCGGAACAGACACCTTCTTCACGTTTTGGAGACAGCCACAACTGCAACTGCTGCGTAATGGGAACAGAGGTTTCGAAATTCTACAAAGTACAAAAGAGACCCTGAGAGATTACATCTCCCTTTCAAATGGTATTGTATAGAGAGGCAAAAGTGTGGCATCTCAAACACTGACGCCGTAGCCACATAAAGGACTCATTCGACATTGCCTGTCCCGTAACCTGCATTGAAACATATCATGCTTACCGGAACAGGACTTGCGACCACGAACTCGACGGGATACAGCCAGCTGCATCGTTGTCAGTAGATTCAGCGGCGATTTCACTAAACGTGTTCGAAATTATCGGTGTGCTGAGTGACGTCTTGCTAGCGAACAGGGTCCAGCCACCGCCTTCAAGAGTCGTATCGCAATATGCGCGGTACTTCTTACCAGCACTGCTGGTGAGTGAGTAAAAGCCATCCCAGTGGTATTGTCCTGTGCGCGACCATTGCAAGAGACAAGCAGTGATACGAGCGGTCTTCTAAACCAGCTTTTGAACATACATGTACATGTACAGTGGAACCTGTCTAAGACGATCGCTCATGGCACCTTCAAAACGTGGTCTCTGTTATCGGGTGGTCTCCTTATCCAGAGTCATTTGACTGGAAATAGCATCCATTGGTCCTGGTTTCAGTGGTCTTCTAGAACAGGTGGTCGCCTTATCCGAGTGGTCGCATCGACAGGTTTTACTGAAGATGTATCACTGGACTGGGAAGTGCACTTGAAGCATTTGGAAAAAAATGTATTTTACTAAGGTCCACACTCCAAACACCCTATGATGATTACCAGATTACTAGTGTGATGAATAGAGTCTACAGCAGATAGAGTAGAGAAGTGGGATGTGCCACGCGAAGTGAGCATGAGTTTTGACTGCGATGAACACGCAAAACTCACGATGTAATACTATGATTGTACATGCACCGACATCCTCATGTAAGCCTTGTTTAAGATTCCCTGTTTGACAACATCAACGAATGAAATCCATGGCTTGTAACTATGGTTCTTACCGTTCCTCTCCAGGACATCCTTGCACGCAGCACCCTCGGTTTTCGGTGAGGGTAATCCCGAGTCAGCACCGGATGATGTGGCAGGCTTCCAGTATCCTCCATTGTAATACTGCAGAGTGAGGACCAGGACACAAAACGCTCTAAGTGCTGTATTTTTACGTTGTTTCTATACACCATGGCGATGGTCCACGGCTCGATTACTGGTTGTCATGGTTGTTGCAGGGCCAGTTTTCACTCCAGAAAATTTCCTTATTTATCTCACGTCGTGAGTGGAAATAATTTTTTATCACTTTCCGCCCGCCATGGGTTCGACATTTCAATTCCTCATGAAGTTTGTTGCTCCGACGTGCAACACACGCTTGCTGCCGAACTTGACATTTGACGTGAACCTCCAGTGCTCCGTATGCATGGCAGGTGTGAGTCGTGAGTCAGCCATACAACGGATCTAGTTGGAGACGTCACAAAAAGGAGAAAATCATTGATTTCAAGTTCCATCTCAATGCCTAGACTTTCTCAGGACGTCACTGGACCCCAGGACAAACACCCTATTCCCTGGACTGTCCCGGGAAACCCTGGACGGTTGGCATGTATGGAACGTCCAGTCAACTTCATCACTATAACCGGCGGAGTCTCAACTTCTAACTACGAGAAATTTCTTTAATTCAAAGCACATGGTATGGAAAGGTAAACATGTCATAATTATTAGGACATGTAGGAAAACTGTCGCAGACTTCTTACGACTCCCAACAAGGTCGGTGTAAATCTTTTCTGTGCCTATATGTGTCAAGGAGAGCAATGAAGATTGAAGTTGATCAAAATAGCGTACATGTACATGTATATTGAAGTACAGAGTGGTTTCAAATCTTTGTCCTAATATTATTACTAAATTTTGTGTCGAAAGTGATCATGGCATGCAACAGTGGCACCAACATGGCTGACATTAATAATACTAGTATGTAATCCATAGATGCAGGGGTTAGGCATCAGCGGGTAATGCTAGCATTAAAACTAGCATAATGGGGGTGGTTCGCAGAGGGGGGCATTGCCCCGGCATAATGAGGCTTTTTTTGGAGAATCTAGCATAATTTGCGATTTTCAGCATCTCATGGCCAGAGAGTCGTAGAATGCAGTACTCCCTGATCAAATGCCTATACGTGTCACATGACCATCCCAACGCAAACTATACCATTGCGTACAACGATGTTGCCTTTGTTGGAGTAGAAGTAGTCTACCACCGATCAATCAATTTTTGCGTGCATATCTTTATACCTACTTTGGAAACAGACTTTTTCGCGTACTCTTCTGCGATTTGTTTGCTGCAATTGGATATATTGCTAGCATAAAACGCCCTAAACTAGCATAAAAAGCATTAAGACGAGCATAATATCCTGTTTTTGCTGGCATTCTGAAAAGCATAATCGGCTGAGTTTACTAGCATTACCCGCTGATGCCCAGCAGGGGTTGACTATAGCTGGAACCAACATGGCTGACATTATGTGATCCGTAGATGCAGGGGTGGAAGCCTGGAACCAACATGGCTGTTCCGTACTTTCATGTGATACACGTACATGTAGATATGAAAACTCTTCATTAGAACGGATTTGCGGAAAATACCTTACGCAATGAGGATTCGACAGGAGAAGGGCTACTGTGGCTAAAAGCTACACTACACTGTATTACCTATCGTGGAAGTACATGTAAATTGCGTCAACCTAGACTTACCAAGAGGCCGCTCCGACGCGTAGTGCTGGACAGGAACATATTCGACATTCACACCAAATGAAAATGGCATTAGAAATAATTCCACCTCTCTTTAGTTTGGGTACCTCAGCGCCTTGATTCACAGAGGGTGGTGGCGTCCTTATGGCTGCGGAAAACGTGGCCTCCAGCCGACGGCCCGAGTCTAACGGGAACCGCGAGCCCTTTTTTCTTAGGGCCGTACAGCACACCCGTGTCATAAAATTGAAACAAGACCACCACCCTCAATAATCAGGACATCAATTGCAGCTCCTCACCTGCCGGATTTCCTACCGGACAAATATCAGGTACTTCAACGACTTACCGTGCTTGCAACGAGCCTCCGTGGACACTGCACATGAGGCCAACGAGCAGTATGCTAAGGGCGGCTGTGAGAGATCTGGTCGTCTTCATTTCTGAACGTAGGTGATCGCCAGAAAATGGCCGCAGTCGAGGACGAAATAAACTAAGTGAAAAGAAAGGGTTGCACTATCAATACAGATCGTCAACTGGGAACTATTCTGGAGAGCAGGCACTAATGTACTAAAATTAATGTAGTTATTTCAACACCGTGACCATCATGTGCCTCTGTGCAATCGGCAAGAAACAAATGTCGTAATTGTGGCTGGTACAGACGGAAATGCAGTGACAAGACAAGACAAGATTCGGAACATTTATCACCAGATACTAATCCGTTGATGCCCGAGCTGCAGCAACTAATAGTAATACTGTGTTTAGGTAGTATCGACATTATTATACATGTACTTCCTCCGTATACAAAAACTTCGTGACTTTTTTTGAACGGTGTTTTGAGCAAGAACCTGCTCAACGAACGTCGCAAAAGGCTGTCATCGACAACCCACGTCCATGTCGAGGTGAGTTTGGTTGATCCCGAACAGATTCTCTACGTACGCCATGCGTGTGAGGACGTTGCCGACAGAAACTCAAGAGTCAAATGAAAACAAACTAACACTTACTTGCTCGAAACTGACACAGTGCACTATACTATAGTGTCAGTAGGGACGAAGTGTAGCTAGCTCGTGGCTGGAACACGCAGTCACGCGGCACTCGCTGCCCTGAAACTGGCCAGGCTCGTACTCTGGTACTTGCGGTGCGCGGTCCCATATCTACGCAGCGTGAGAACATCGATTTGTTTCGCTCGCACGGCAAGATGAAACATTTCAGTCGTCGTGCAACCAGCGCAGACTCAGGATCAGAATGTCGATGGCCTGGCTTTCTTCGCCTCTCTCCAGTCAGGCGCCTCCTTTGTCGCCAAGGGGAATAATCGCAGGGACCTCCTCGAAGCCATTGTAGAATGCTTGGGAGGATTATCCTGGCGAGAAAATGCGAAGCGTGTGGATGTGCTTGTACGACTCGTTTCACTTCATAATGGAGGTTGCGGGTTGAAACAACTGAATATAGTTGACACCGATTCGTACACAGCTCTAGAGATGAAGAGGACGTAGCCAAAGTCCAGCGTCGGATCATCACTGCAGGTGACAAGAATCTGAACGAAATGCGAGCGGAAGCAGTGACTGTTGGCGATGCGGAGTCAGCGTCGTCAGGTGACAATGACATGAGCGACGAAGACTCTGAAAAAACTCAATCTCATTCGTCTGAGTTGCTTTTTTCTTTGTATATAGCTTGTAAACAGGTTAGACAATGCCACGAGTGTTATTCCGAGTCAAACGGAACAATTTCAGAGCTTTGCGCAGCTTTCAAAAAAAAGTCACGAAGTTTTTGTATACGGAGGAAGTACATGTAGGGGGAAAGAGGTGTTGAATACCATACAATCTTTTACATGTACATGTACATGTAGTTGCATAAACTGTCACGTTAGCACAGGCAAGTGTCGTCTTTGTACAAGTTGCATGGCAGGGTGAACCCACTGGCCGACAGGCGGCATTATCACCCAGAAACGAAGTGTCATCTTTAGTATTCCTATGTACGACGTACTGGTTGCGAGACATTTGCCTCTGTAACCGACCACGAACACCCTCTTGTCTTCTTATAATGACTATTCTCCCGTTTTCTTTCGTACTCGTAGTCCCTCCGTTTCCAGCTCCCCATCCAATCCACTCCAAAGCGAATCTGGCGAGCCATGACGCCGAGACCTCCAGGTAGGCTGAGCTTCACAGGTCCCACCCACTCTATCTCCTGGATATGTACATGTACTTCTAATTACATCTAATTGTCCATCATGCAAAGAGTGTTCTTTGTGATAAAAAAAAAAGAAAAAGAAAAAAATTAGTCTGAAGCAGAGCGTCAAAGTGTGGTAACTGGCTAGGATCTGTCTGACAACAGTGACAAGATTATGCATGCCAACATATTCATGACGAGGTCTGTCTGTACATTGTATTCACTGTACAGTGGAAATCACTTCTGCAGAGACTGCACGGTAGAAACAAGACAGAATCTTGCTCAGCACGTTCATTGTCCGGAACATGCGAGTATTGAGTCTACTGCTCGATATTTAGGACGAATACAAGATTAAAACACCCCTTGGACACTAATCAGTATGGTTTTTCTGCTGGTCATGGACGTACATGTACATGTTACCCGAGTTCTACTGTCTATCATACATTGTCATTGTACAGTCATGTACATGTACATGTACATAATCATTGTATCTCTCAGCACAGGTACAGTCATGTACATGCACCTGTAGCAATAGGATACTATGTAGAGTCATGTGAATGTACATGTACTTCTACGTCGGATCATCCCTGTGTAATCGGGAAGGCCTCTTTTACGGGCAAAGCGAAGCACAATCATCACCATGTATCAGTACAGTGAATAGTTACATGTAAACCCAACACGAATGAAAAACGAGAAATAGAATAAAAAAATTGTAAAAAACTCAACATCGAACACGAATAAATTAAAAAAAGGATATAAAAAAATAGTAATAGCTATGAAAAGTATGAATGCCGCAGACATCACCATGCAACATGACAATTTGTTCAAGGTTTGGTTTTGTGTGTTTCCAAAATCGATTTTCAAGCTCCGATCATCAGTGGAAATACGGAACTAAAGTGATCAAGGGAAAAACAAAGGTTAAAAATCCAAAGAAGTGTGACACATGACGGGTAAGTTGTGGTAAGTATTACAAACAGTGAGAACTAAGATAAAGAGTAAGTGTGACAAATGGGCATGAACAGTGCAGAAACAACTCATGAACACATTCATACTTTTCATAGCTATTATTAAACTTTTATCTCCACGTAGATTATTTGTATAAAAAAATAAAGAGAATAAAGTTGGTTGCTCCAACGAGGCTCTTCATGACTAATACCGCCGAAGTCGCGACTTCTAAGTTCGCCAATAAAAATAAACAATCAATATTGAACACGGAACTATCTACTCAACCAATTCATAATGCAATACCTGCAACGACAACAAAATTGTGATGATTTCCTCACGACTATCAGCGCTTCTCGGAATGCCTTGCTGGGCGAATCACACTGACGTGTAGTGACCAGTGATGTATTCTTATGCCCAAACTTCAATGTCAGAGAGCGCTCACGGCGAAAAGTTTACCGAGCTTTGCTGTATAGTCGATCATAGCATGACATTTGTGCTTTCTTCTTCCTCATTTTGTAGAAACTGGACATTGGTCTGATCCAAGGCATTTCCTATTCACTTCGTGAAGTGAATAGTACTGACTATTGGAAGATAACAGGGACAATAGTTACGGTTGGGCATTAATCACTTGTGAATAATCGATTTATCATTACAGGGTTGGGTTAAAATGAACTGTATTATTTCCTTACGTCATGACCTATCCTACCCATGCAGTACAGTAAAACCTGTCAAGGCGCGACCACTCGGATAAGGCGACCATCTGTCCTAGAAGACCACTGCAACCAGGACCAAGGGATGCTATTTCCAGTCAAATGACCCTGGATAAGGAGACCACCCGGTAACAGAGACCACGTTTTTGAAGGTCCCATGAGCGGTCGTCTTAGACAGGTTCCACTGTAATTAAAGGAAGGTAGAGAAGCCGGAGAAAGAGAGAGAGCAGTGTCCGAACTGATGTGGTGCCGGCTAAACCAGGTGGCTGTGCCAGTTGGGAAGACCAAGCTCAGCCGACACTGATCATCTCGACATCCTTGCCAGAACTACGCACTGTAGAAACGAGACTTGAAAATCACTACTGAGATAAACTAGTATCGGAGTACCTCAGTGTGACTGTTTTAAATTAAATTGATGTCGTGCAAATCGCATTTAAAGGCTTATCGTTGGTTCTTGAATACTTGGTGGTGAACGATTATGGTATTGCAATGCAGTTCATTGAAGCATATTATCATAATCTCTTTGTATCGTCACTGGTCTAGGGACCGGCGGATTCTGCTCGAAAAGGTGGCAGATTCTGCTCGAAAAGCAGTGAAATTGGCAGAAGCATACAAACCTTGTGGTGGGCAATAAAAAAACAAAAAAACCGTGTTTTTGCCAGCTAGCTGGCCTCTGCGTATACCGCAGACACACCCACACACAACAGAAAGATACAGATCACAGTAGTAGTGTGGTCTTTGTTCACTCACGGTGGAAGATGGAAGAGCTTAGCGTAGTGTATACATGAGCAAGAAGAAGGGCATGCCACCTCACACATCTACATGTACACGTATGTACCAGACCAACATGATGCAAGAAGTGAACCACTGGCACTGGGGCGAATGGGGCCGCCGGATAATTAACCAGCCCGAAGCTGGCGGAAAAACCTCAGGACCCCGGCGGAAGCACAACCCTGAGGAAAAACCGGTTAGAATAACCCCATAAGATAAATGAACAAAATGTAACCTGCAGGACCTATCCCGAAGTGAGAATAAAGGGGAGGGCGGGTGGGAAACTACAACGAAAAGAGAAAGACCACGATGAAGAGAAAAGTTTGAGAACACTGACAAAAACCAGCTGACGCAATCCTGGGGCCGTAACTATGGTGAAAATGCTGGCCAAAAATACATTTTTCGTTTCATTCGCTACGCTCAGCCAACGAAAAATAACACTATAGTCGTACTTGTACAGTGTATATTCGTAAATGTGCTTGGGTACATTGTATATTTCTCAACTGACGGATCATGTCTATAGCTGTGATATGAATTAGGACTGTGTTCGCCTGAAGCGGTGTGTTGTGTTCACAATTCGTCAAACGCTGCGAATGGGAACCAACATGACCCGCGACAGTCCTTGGATTGCTGCAACCTGATTTCACTAGTGCGTAGAAATCGGCGCTAACATCATGTCATCATAATTTTTGTGGACCTGGCTGGATTTGTGTGGACCTCTCCTCGGTTAATGCGAACTAACGTGACCTGTCATGGTCTTTGCCACTGTACTTGATTTCACTTGTGCACATAATTCGAAGTTGAACATAATGCCCGTACTGTTCGGTATGACCCATGGCATGGCCCAGTGCTTCAACAGATTGCATGCACAATGAACTAGACAGCATAATACTGGAATATTCGAATACGTTGCTCTGCTGTACACGTCGTGCATACTAAGTGACTGTGCAGTTACTCACTACATGTACTGGCATGGTCATGGAAATCCGGTCAATAGTCGAGCGGCCCAGGGCGCTGACCATGCAGCCGTGTGTACCTATACGATGAACACGTACGTGCACTCCAACGCAGCATTCTGTACGCACTGAGGGCGCCGACCCGACCGGATTTCCATGTCCACGACGGCACCTTACTAGCGCGAGAAGCCAGTGCACAGCTCACGGGTCATCACGTCAAGTGCAGTCCGCAGGCAACGTGCTGACAGGCGTTTCACCGCAAACCTCACGCGCTCTTTGCCGTCACGTTGACGGTTCTCACGCTCTGTGACCCGGCAATGGTCCGGTCGCGCTATGCGGCCACCCACGGGCTCGTGTGAGCTCCTCGATATCAGTATCAGTGATGCGCACGTTTATACACATAATACTTGACTTCATACAACAAAATAGGCGTGTGGGGTGTGTGGAACGCATGCAATGACTATAATATTCTGCACTGTTTCAACCTCATCTTCCTCCACGCACCCATACTACACGCTGGTGTACATTACTAGCTTCGCTACATTTCCGTGCCCAAAGCTGATTGATCTAATCTCGATCACAGACGCTGCATTATCTGAACCAGTCGTCGAGGCACAATGTGAGGGCTCGCCCGAGACTAATGTGATCCGAGTGAGCAGCTCAACGAGACCTGCTGCACGGCACTAATCTCCTGAGAGTGCGGTAATCGATACTCGCATGGACCTGACATCAGGGGACACACAGGCTCCCAATCTGCATTTGCAGCAGATTGAGACCTGGGAAAACCACTCCATTGCCTTTGGAGACTCCATGCCTTGGGCCGTGTGCAGCATTTCCTGTGGGAACGCCTTCCATACAAGGCTCCCTGAGGTTCATGCTTTGAGCTAAAAGTCTACCATACCCCTCACATCTAGCCAGCACAAGCTGAAACCAACTCAGCATGCCAAGTCTTGACTGTGGTAGCCATTGCCTTTGTACCCCAAAGACGTTTGTCGTTAGACAATCAATCCATTTAGGCTGTCAATAATCAATTGAGGCTATGGTGAAGTTGCAGTAATCATTGTACATGTATGTTCCACTAGCAGAATTCAACCAAATAGTTTCCTTCTTGGAATTTAGGAACGGATCAAGAGGGCCACGACCGGCATTGATTTCCGTCCGATTGCTGTTCCTACCTGGGGAAACCTTCAAAGTTAACGTGCTCCTGAACTAGAAGTGATATACATTGAAACGCATGCATTAGCTTTTCTTCTCCAAATCACCCATCACAAGCTCATCGGGATTCTTCATTAATTTTGTAGTGATATTTCAGTTGTATATTAACCTCTTCTCCGGATTGGAAGAAGCTTCATTGAAGTTGTTATAAATCGGGTTAATAAAAATATGTGATACCTATTGATTATGGTGTGAATGGTACGTAGCACGATCGGCTTCTGCGTGGTTCTGGTTCTTGCACAAAAAAACGATAATTATCTGCGTTTTGAACTACGTTAGCTATACATGTACGTGATAAGCTAGTGTATTCTCCGTGTTATCTAGGCCTGAAATACTTATGATTGTGATGGCCCTGACGGATACATCGTGTAGTCAAAATTGATAAAATAAAATTGTCGTATGAAGAATGGATCAACAGTTTAGGATTCAAGCTCAGCGACTACCTGAATTAGATATTGTTCGTATGGTATCAGAAGAGCGATTTTGTAATCTCAGACAAAAATCTCTTCAGCAAAGTCACTTAGTCGTTTCGTCGCTTTGGGAATGCGTGCCGACGACAGGGCCGGTGTATCGTCAAATTGCGACTTTTTTCGTCCCTCTCGTGCCTCCTTGATCATTGCCGCGGTACCACGCTGTACTGTACTGGTTGCTGTGACAACGCCACTTACTCTTGTTGAAGACGTGGGCGATATCTCAACTGCAGAGAAACGCATGGCTGGGGTCAGGGCCTTTGCCTCCGTGTAGGACGGTAGTCTCTCCTCCGATCCCGGCTGTGACGTAATCCGATCCAGCCTCTTGCCCGCTCGGCTACCATCCGTAGGCCTCGTTGCTACGGCGTGCCTGCTCGGCATTTCGCTGTGTACGGAGTTGTGACGTAGGGGCCAGGTGATGACCCGTTCCGTATCTTCCTCACACTTATCCTTCTCGATTTTGCTGAGGATGGTCGAAGGTGCGATCTTGGCAAGATTGTCCTCGTCGCCTGAGTCTTCACCCATAGCTAGACCACTGTCAGCACTGGCGAATGATGCTCGGGTGCCAAGCTTCCGCACGTATTCGGCCAGCACGCGCCGTGTGGATACATCGGACTCTTCCGTCAGGTCGGCGGGGGTTTCGTTTTGCGGCGTCAGGGCGTCCGGTTTGGCGCCATGCTCCAGAAGAAACTCGACGATCTCCGTGTTGCCCATGGCACTGGCCGCGTGAATGGGTTGCCAGCCGTCCACGTCACGTTTGTGCACGTCAGCTCCCGCCGTAACTAATGCAGTCACTAGAGCTAACCTACCGTCCAGACAGCACTGATGCAGTGCAGAGATACCGCTCTGGCTGAGGCTGTTCTTATCGAACCCGCCATCAACGAGCAGGATGTGAACTTCGCGCAGGTCCCCCGTCTTCACCGCCTCGTGGAAACAGATCTCTTGCGGAAAGCTGACGCGACGTACGCGCTGTTGTCGGCCCGCACTGCGATTAGCATTGGGTAGTGACATAGACCGACTGCGGCCCGAACTCAAAACACCAACTTGCGCCATCGCTACTTTCCCGGTGCGTTTGTCTAAAATTGCTCAACTGCTAAGTTGATAGAGAAGATGATGGATCATCCAATAAGTGGCCTTCAAGCCAGACTGATTGCGATGCACTGACTTGGTTTCAGAACCCAGGTTTCGGTCACAGTTGATCTGGGTGGAGCGATCGTCAAAGGGGTTTGCCCAGGCCTTGCAGCCGACAATCGGGTAGTGAAGGAGACGGGTGCGACCTTATGTGCAACGGAGCAAGAGATGCTGCTGAGAGAGCCCCGATAGTCGCAATACTCTCCTACTTCTACTGCTGTTTGAGGAGGGGCACTAGCTCACTGTTCACATCAATGAATGATCCTTCAAACACACTTAATCTTACGCAATTCACTCCAAACGTGGCAGTTTCTCTACCGTAGTGCAGCCGGAGACAAAAAAATGGCACCTTTAGCTTGCTTCCGAGCTGCCTGGATCTGCCTTTTCTACCACCGTACCACACGACTCTGTTTGCTAATGGTACGACGGGGGCGATGTTTTTGTTGTTCCTTCTCCGTCGGGTTAGGAACAAGTCTGAAGATATAAGGGCATGCGAGCGTCGGTAGGCGGATTGCTTGTTCTAGCATACAAGTATGATACAATGTATTGCTCAGCCACGGTCATGTACATACCTATCCATGCTGATGTGTTGGAATGCGCAGAAGTACAGGCAAAAGATCTCCTGTGCACTGGCCTGTGTGTGCACATTCTTGTCGCTCACCGAATCCGGGTCGCCAGCAGCCAGCGGAATTCCTAGGTGGCATCGAGCCTGTCTAGACGCAGATGCCAGCCATGGACAGCTCCAGGCCGTCTCTGTCAACTGGGCTGTCCGAGGGCCGTCGCCTGTAGCATAGTGCCCCGTAGGAGGGTCACGGGCGACCCCGGGTACGACTGGATGGATAGATTGGACGATAGAGTGGATGGGTTAATCCACCCTGCCATAGTGTAATACACTTGCCTAAACTTTTTACAATACGCAAACAATGACATAAAGCAGAAGACACGCTGAAGTTAGGCCAGATCCTGCTGCCGTTGGGAGACATCGTCGCCTGTACATACAAGTACAACAACCTTTCCATGCCGCTCATCTACTAGTACTAGCATGCTACCAGGGACCATGGACTCCCAGCGCTGCCCGAATTCCACTGTGATTGCGGCGCCGCGAATCAATGCTGATCGATTTGTTTGTGCCAGCCACCCCGGACGCGTAATCTGTGCATATCTGCCATGATTTATCAGTGCTCTAGCACGCGTCATTGGTTGTATCACCCAAATGTATGACGGGGATCTCGTGCGTCCGACGACTCGTCCTATTCGTAAACAGCCCAGGGTCTTCCTTTGGTCGCCAGATGGAATTTGATCACCTTTGTGTCCATCTGGGACTTCGCTATGGTACATATGGTGCAATGCGGGAGGAAGGTATGAAGGGATGAATGAAGCATTTACTTTTAATATTCAATGCTGGGGCACATCGACCTTGCCAAGAACGTAGTTCCTTGGGCGTGCGTGACCTGCGATTGTATGGTGGGAAAACGTCAGCGCCGTTTGATTGTCTGAATCGAAATGCGCTTGAACAGCGTCATGTGTGCCTATGGAACGTAATAACTGTGTCGAATGAGCTCGTGTCGAGAATGTTGAAGTCGAATCCTGCGTTGATATCAATCACTCTTTTTTGGTCAGCTTCGTTCGTTGTCTGATGCCTCTTTTCATAGGATTCGGAAACCATTCCTTCAAGTTTCGGCCGTTTCTATTCACCAGAAAAGGATATCAGCTTGATCTTGTTCATACGGGACGCCATGATCGAAATCACTGGAGATGTGAAGGATTTCCCATTTCCGATGGATTTCGCGAGCAGCAGGATCAATCCCGGACGTGCCAATCCAGAGTGTTTGTTCACTTCATGTCCTGAGTCTGATGAGGCTAATGACAGTTTGATCATCATGCCTGCTAAAAACGTATGCCAACAAAACCAACAATCCGATAGGGTATTCAGACTGATTTTCCATCCTCATTACACCACCCATAAACATTTAGTGTCCATCAAACATTAAAGCATTGCACGACAAGGGTATCAGTAGGAACAATGCAGTGAATTTTGGTCTCCGTTTCACCCCCGGGGCTTGTCTTTTATATGTATCGAGAAATGAACCCCGGAGGTGAATATTGATTTCGCTATAGACTGATAGTGGTAGTGATTTGACACTTAGATCTTTACCTGTAGTACTGTTCTCAGGTTGACTTCCCATTGTTCAGTCTTTACTCTATGCCGCTACTCTGGAAGTATGGTTCTATATAATGTATTAAAGTAGAATTGGTTTGTTTCAATGCCAAAGAACTCATGACACATTTGGGATGCTCTTAGTAACACGAAGAACGGAAGCCATCTTTGGCTGACTTCCGAATCGCAGGAGTGTGCTATCCATTTCATTTCAGCCAGTATGGCGACTGTGCTTCGTCTTGAGGGACGCGGCCATTCAGGGGTGTGAGGTCACCTTTCGGCACCGCGACTAGAGTTCGCTCGACGCGACTATACTGAGTGAGGAAGACCCACACATTGATTTGGTGAGCTGCGTCAAAGGGATTTGGCAGTGCTGTCTAGCCCTCATCGACGGTACGTTGCATCACCTCGAAGATACCGGCCGTGAGAAATCACAGCGTTTACTACAAGAACAGGCTCTTAGTTCAAATGATCCCACCGCTTTCTTGAAACTAAAACCCCCTCTAAAATTGCCGAAAGGGTTCATGGCTAGTTCATGGTCGGGTTGATGATAGGGACCACTCATGCACAGGACACTGATCTTAAGTCACATAGTTGTACATGTATCCACGAAATGTACAGTAACTATCAGTAAACAGCTATCAGTGAGATCAGGTGGGTGTGATTGCGTGTGGTAGACTCTACGTGAGGTCTGCAAATCATTACATTGCATACTGGCTGGATTACATGATGCGTTACATGTACAGTGTACATCAGCAATAGAGCAACTTGCCCTCTAACACAATGTCATGCTGTTTAGCTCGCGGCTATGAGCTGTCTGGTTGGGCGGGCATTTGTGCAGGGGATACACTGGATCAAGTGAATGCCATTTACTGCAATCTCGACACTAAAAGCAGCTGGGTGTACAATGTACATGCTACAAATATGTATAGGCAACTTTGCCCTAACGACCACTGTGATTCGCAATCATTAGTTGTCTCTGTTTTCGATGTTGAATAATCTACAGGCATTGGGAGGCCAATGGTAACTGGGGATGAGGATAGGTCGGAGGTTTGTGCATTTGTAACCCCGTTTAGCCTACACCGAGAAGTGAGAGTAATGATTCAACTATATGCATGCGAATAGTATGATAAGCTGATGATTTCTATACTGTGGAGACAACTCAGGTCTCGTGTCTCTTGATCGCGTTAGTGCTATCAGGCTGTTGATCCTAAGCGAACAGTGACGATGTTATCACCTACATGTACTTGTATCCAGTTGGTCAACATCTTGAGTGCTAACACCAGCAAGCAGTGGCGGTGGCGACCATGACTGTGCAACCATGGCGTCCGATGTACGGGCACGTGTGACGTTGATATGTTACAAGACGTCCCATGGGTGTACCTAAGTCCTTTCCAAGATCAACATCATACACAAGACTGAGACATGTACTCTAAGACTACATCTCTCTCTCTCTCTCTCTCTCTATCTATCTATCTATCTATCTATCTATCTATCTATCTATCTATCTATCTATCTATCTATCTATCTATCTATCTATCTATCTATCTATCTCTATATGTCTCTCTCTCTCCCTCTCTCCCTCTCCCTCTCCCTCTCTCCCTCCCTCCTGCGAGCACAGGCTCCAATTCATTGTGTTGAACACTCTTTGTTCGGTGGGAGACTCTGCTCATGTACTTTGATTAAAACGCTAACCACTCGCATGGGATAATAACGACAAAAGTGACCATTAATTTTGACTGTTTTTTCGCCGGTAACGACACTTTTCTCATCAACGATTGAGGCCTGTCAGTCGCAAGGTTGAATATTATACCGGTCAACATCAAGAGCACTGGAGACAAACAGTAACGTTAACACAGGAGACTGAGTCTGCAAATCCTAGAATTATGTACACATGCTTATGGCACCTGATAAGAACTACAGTCAAACCTCGTTAGGACGAACACTAAGGGGCCGGTGGTAATTGGTTGCAATAACGGGAGTTCTTCTTATCCATATTATTTTTATGCCCAGTGAATACACAGTGTTTAATCCAATAAAGTTATGAATGCTAGCTGTTCTAAAGCGAATGTTTGTGTTATCAGTGTTCTTCATGGTTTTCCTGCATTCAGTTCACGATGCGAGGTGCAGTTAGTGTTTGTCCCCGTTCTGGCATGTATTGCATCGCCCTTCCATGCGTCGCTATTACTAATAATTAATATTTTGCACTTATCCCGAACTGTATGTGTTGGGCTGAAACCAGCAGAGTTTTTGGCAAGCCCTTTCACAGTGGCGCGAAAGGACATTCCGATCGCCAACTGGGCCGACAAATACAGAATATTGTATACTCGGATTAAGAACAAAAGTATGTACTTGGAAGTAGTACAGTGCCCGGTACTATCAGTATCAATAATTACATGATACATACACGAAGACAATCTAAAGTTTCACTGTCTCTATAGGGATCGCAACGTCACCATAGCCAGAAGGTAGGGCGTCGACGGCCTATCATTAGGTTCTCGGGTTCGCTTCCCAGTGGTATTAGTCGCTTCCTTCCGCAGGCTTGCTCCATTTACTGCTCCTTGTACCCGTTCGGAAGAAGATGTGAGGTGATGTGACATGTTTGACCTTCGAAAACATCGGCCGCAATACTGAATACTGCTAATCGTCTTTCCATGTTACAGGCTATGTTGATGGTCTCAAGCTTTCCTCTAGTCTCTTTCTTGTTGTGCATCTTCACAATAATACAGCGAAACTCGAATGTTGATCCAATAGTATTATGTAAAGAGAAATTTCGTTACCTTCGAGGACTTTTAATCATAACTCGTAAGGTATAGGCCCTTTTCTCTTTAATTCTCTATTATTGTGCTGCATTGTGTGAAGACAACGGCACCATTCTGCATTGAAGTGGATGAAGCCAGCCAACGTTACTTGGCGACAAATCTCAGATAGCATTTGGGAAGCACAGGGAGACCCCGTCAGCTGAGTCGAGACAGCACAGACTCAAACTCCTTTTGGGTGAATTATAACATTAACGGTGTCGCGTCGTACCATTTGTATGGTTTCATGCCCCTATTTGAACCTTTTAAAATGGCGTAAAACTCCAATAGAGACGTACTCCAGATGTAAGTTAGCAAGGACACCAGTTCGCCTCAACAGAAATTATCCGTATGGTTGGTGGTGTGCCCTTTTACACTGCTCAAATGCATCCTAGACTAAGAAGGACATGTCAGACCAGGCGAAAACCACGACTTCACGAACACAATACAGCGCACAAGGTCATAACGTGTATGCTAGAAAAACGCCTGACAGCTCCGAAGTGATGATAGACTTTCCAAAAATGGTCGCTTTCCTAGGCAGTGGCAGCGCATGCACAAAAAGGGGCCCACCTCCGCCGGGTCAGAATGGCCACTGACACAACCTGTCAAGAAATCCTGGGAATGGAATTTTGTACTCTGACAGCTGGCCTGTCAATACAACGTGTCACTTTGACCAGCGAGCAGCTCCTTGTATAATCTGGTCTATACAACAAATTATTGATTATTTTACTTCTCCGCAAAAGGATACACCCAGTGTGCTCGAGGGTGCTACGATACATGATCTTAGCGAGATGATAGCAGTGTGCATGCAACTGAGTGTTGCAATGAACTACAATGTAGCCTTGCTGCTCTGTAGTACTGTGTATGCCCGATAGAAAGCAAAGCCAAAGGCATTCATTCCTCCATCTAAACTAGGCCCAGAAGAACTCACATACTCTTCTAAGACGTACATGGCTTAGTACGCACATTTCCCTAAGCACAGATATATTGGATGTATTGCTCCATGCTGAAGTGTGTTCGGATAAGAAGAATCTATTGATATTAAGTCCAATTTCCAGTCACACCACGGGATGACGTCTTACCGGTGTTGCACGGTACAACGTCAAGCGTACTGGCCAGCCTGACTGGCTGGCTGACCAGCAAGTGCTGGCTGGCAACATACCCGACCACGGACCAGTCACTGCACTGGTAAGTGAACAGACTGTTTAGTCTCTGACCGTCAGAGCATGCAGAGTACTGTACTGTAGTGTAATAATACTAGGCCCCTAAAATGAGCATGCATGTACTAGAGTCTAGACGCTACAAATAATTCATGATAAGAAATACACTATGGTCTCACCTTTTTCTTTTCTTTTTCACACATAAGGTGGGATTCGAACCAGCACTATCACCCTGCATGCATTCCCTCCATACATTTCACACGATCATGCACATGTACACATTCTAGGAAGACGCTTCATGCTATGATCCTGCCCTTGAAAGCCATAGCAGGGCTGAGACTACACACCCTGTTCACTCACCAGCATATAACATGCATGCCGCTACCAACTCCAATCGAGGTGGTAGGGTGACAGGGAAACACCAAGATAGCTGCCAACCTTATGGATTTTGGTTTGCCAAATCACTACTGGGTATTAGCGGGGTGCAGAAAATACAAGATTGAGGATGCTTCTCCAACTCCAATCGAGATGGTGGAGCGACAGGGGACACACCAAGATATCTGAAGGCTATGCGCCCCTGGGGTGCAGAATATACACGATTGAGGATGACGGGGAATTCCGAGATTGCTAGAGTGCTCAACATCACAAGGATGGAGCAATACCACGAAGGCAGAAGAGAACAGAGGCAACCGCTTTTAAAAGTTATTGCTGTAATGCTCCGTTTCACGCACATTGCAAGGCTACGGATAAACACTTTTTGCACAAAATGTCCCCCACGCACACATGACATACACGGAGCACATAATTCACCACAGTGAATGGAACAAAACTCCATGTTTCGCATACGCGCACGAAATCGACTAGATGATTTAGCATGAGAGTACGACAAACTCAGTTCCACAGAATAACGATTTGCACGTTCGCTCATGATGTAGGAGTACATGCGTGATGCCTGGACTAGACATGAGCACGTGCCTTTTTTGCACGGGACGCCAATCAGAGTGTTTGTGAGCGGAAACAAGCGCACTTTGCACTGACAATGAGTGCGCAACGAAAATCAAGAATCGGAAATGACACAAAGGCGGGAGGGGGGGGGGGGGTAAGAGGCCTACTAAGTGGCGAAACAGGCATAGCACATTGTCAAGAATCTTTTAAAGGCAACGGGAGAGCCTGCGGGAGAGAAAGGAGAGAGAGACCAAAAATCCGCATTTCAACTTCACACAGTTCCAAAACTAAAGAAAGAGCAAAGCGACAAAGCGAATAATTTACGCAAACGAAAAGTGCACGTAGGTTACCTTGGCAACGCACCGCATGCACTAGCAAGCGGGCAGGCAGCATCAGCAAGTGGCACAGTGGACACTCCACTGCAGCCTAGTCATAGAAATGCTTGTGTCAGTGTGTCATCAATGCTGTGTTCAGCAGGACGCCGGCTAGATCTAATGAAGATCGGGCTGGATGCGCGTCAATTTCAGCATTTCCTGGTGAAACAGCAATCAAACATAGTTCATTATGATCAGTCATTCCACATGCACGCGTGCGCGCGCACACACACACTCACACACACACATACACACACAGATCAGGGGCGTCGGAAGCCATCTTGGTATGGTACGGTCAGGCATCTGAAGTACGATATACTCGTGGGAGAGTGGTTGCTGATCCGACAAATTTGGAGGCCAGATCAGTGTATATCACTGGGGCCAAAAGTGGTAGGGTCAATACCGTAGTGACTCTACAGTATCCGACGACCGTGCAGATCTTTGGATAATTTAGCATAGAGCGCAATACAGTACCAACTGTGTTTGCCCGACCCTGTAGCAAACGGAATGCTATACTGAACGGACCGCTTTTTATGCACGAAAAGTGCGGTGTTTCACGCGCCAAGAAAAGTACTGTGGATCGAACGTGCATCCTTGGATCAAGCAGAATCCTGTCATATCACGACGGTTTTCAACCTTGGATCAACCAGGCATCAGGCACAACATTTGATTCGCCCGAAATGGGTTTTAGCCCTGGGTTGCTGAAATTTGAATGGGCCGAACATTTCTACACTTACAGTATAGATTTAACCATGGGTCAGCCATGGGCCATGGACTTCTATAAAATGAGCACACCATTGCTCCTAACTATCAACTTACATCGTCCTCTATCTCCACAGTGAGAGCATCTTCTGCCATTCTCGCTGCAGCCGCACTCATCTCCGTCTCCTTGCCTGCTTTCCTGCATATCGCCTGTGGGAAAGGATAAAACGGAATCAAGACAGAAGAAAGCATCCAGTAGCTGACATTGTTGTCCAACATTACAGCCCTGGCCCAAAGGAATTCGACCTCGTGACAAACAGAGCCATGAGTTTGTGCTAGGGCTGTGTAGTACCCCCTCGCCATCCTATTTAGGAAGTCGAATTTCTCCGGCACTGACTGTAGTCACCAGTTACGATGACCAGTGATGACAGCATGCATAGAACATAGAAGGAAAAAGATGCTGAGCTCTAAGAACTCAATTTAAAAGAAAGGACCAACATGTTACATGTTCTACGTAGTTTGTGTCCAACACTAACAGTATTAACAGGGGCATCGCACACGGTACGGTCACTACGGTATTGACCGTACCACTATTTGCCCAAGTACCCCGTGAATCAATAAACTGCACTGATCTGGGCTCCAAATTTCCAAAATGTTCGGCTCAGCCATCCCCCCCCCCCCCCCCCACAAGTAAATTGTACTTCAGATGGCTGACCGTACCACACTGAAATCCCTTCCGACGCCTCTGTATAAGCAATAGTAAGTTGCTATAGTTGCTTATAACTGCCGTTAGTGTTGAACGAAAACTACAGATAACATGTACCATTTTGGGCCTTTCTTCAACAATTAATCCTAGGCTCTCCATCCTTGGCTCTCCATCCTTGGCTCTCCATCCGAGTCTTACTAGCTCTAAGGACATTAGAGATCTTATGTCAGAGAGGATGACCTGTAGGGTTTTTGTTGCCAGGCAGGGCTTTCCAAGTCAAACTGGACCAGCAGCTGCACCAGGACAACAGAAATCCCCCGCAATCACACCTGACTAATTCAATCCTATTTCCGATGACGTGAACATCTGATATTGGATTTGGATTAAACTTGCAACCACATGCTTCAATAAAAACTGGACAAGCAATTCAGCAAGCACACTATTCTATGCCATGACTTGCCTTTGTGAGTTGTGAATGCTCCTTTATAAGCTGTTGCTCCAGCCTCTCTTCCTCCTTCTTCTGCTTCAGGCGTTCCAGCTGAAAAAGCATAACAAGGAGAGAGAGAGAAAGAGAGAGAGAGAGAGAGAGAGAGAGAGAGAGAGAGAGAGAGAGAGAGAGAGAGAGAGAGAGAGAGAGAGAGAGAGAGAGAGAGAGAGGGGGGGGGAGAGAGAGAGAAAGAGAGAGAGAAATAGAGAGAGAGAGAGAGAGAGAGAGAGAGAGAGAGAATGAGAGAATGAGAGAAAGAGAGAGAGAGAGAGAGAGAGAGAGAGAGAGAGAGAGAAAGAGAGAGAGAGAGAGAGAGAGAGAGAGAGAGAGATAGAGATAGAGAGAGAGAGAGAGAGACAGAAGGACAGAAAGACAGAAGGACAGAAGGACAGACAGACAGACAACGAAAGAGATACAGAGGCAGAGAACCACACATCATCAATGTTCATACATCAGCACATGGACACACACGTGGTCATACCTGAACACACCCACACACCCACCCACACACACACACACGCACGCACGCACGCACGCACACACACACACACACACACACGCTAGCTCACAAAACACTTGAGTAACATCCAAACACGACTTCACCATACAGATATTCACTAGGAAACATAACAAGAGTGCTGGTGAACAGGGCGGCACCTCACTACAGCCAGGTCTCCACTCACCCGTATCCTATTCTCGTTCTCTGCTCTCAGCCTGGCCAGATCTTTCTCTAGCTGACCGACGATAGCCTGCTGTTTGCCGGCAGTGTCTGTAGCTCGCTTTACTTCATGCAGCGATTCCTTGTATTGCGTGGAACTGCGGTCTAGTCCGACCTACGGAGACACAGAAACACATGAAGAATGAAGAATGAAGAAGATAAGTATTGGATGGTCGTGATATCCACAGTTCGTGTGAGACTCGGCTAGAGAGCGAGCTTTTCAAATCCGTAGGATTGCCATTACCCTAAAAAAGGCAGGACAATATTCCTTGCTGGCGCTGATGACATGTCATGCATGAGGTTATTTTTTCACGGTATGCTGTCCGATCATCTGGCATTCATCACACAACGGAATGCCACTCCCCACTATGTATGCCTGCAGTATGGTCAGTAAGTAGGCTCTCCTGTCCTCTTGGATGCGCCCAAGATATTATTTTGAGGGCCAGTAACTAGCTGGCTGTGCAAAATTTATGGAGAGAAAAAACAAGAGGGTGTGTGTGTGGGTGTGTGTGTGTGTGTGTGTGTGTGTGAGAGAGAGAGAGAGAGAGAGAGAGAGAGAGAGAGAGAGAGAGAGAGAGAGAGAGAGAGACACGCATGCACTCCCATCCCACATACACACAAAGACAGCGTACTGTAAGTGTGCAAATGTTCGGCCCATTCAAATTTCGGCCTCCCAGGGCTAAAACCCATTTCAGCAGCATCAACTTTTTTGGCCTGTACTGCTGCCGCCTGTATACACTGTCACACTGAACCTTGCAAAACCAAAAATTCAAACGTAACCAGGCCGAAAATAAATATGCGCCGAATATTTGTTGACTTACAGCAGACATATACCTGAAACAAATGACATGGCCTGTGCAACCTCTGTGGTACGCCACCTTACATAACCACTAACACCCTGTTCGTAATCATTGTACTGGGCAGTAGCTGCAGCACTGCTTACTCCTTTTCTCCTTTTTCTTGTGCACGAACATGTACATGTACGTTACGTTGAAAGAGTATACCGATATATACACATTGACCCCACTGCGTATACACGGCTGTACATCGATGTAGGTATGTCTCAGGCTACAAAGCTGATGACCTAATTCTTCGGCACACGACAGCTCTGTTTCTCTTACTACTCTGATCAGGAACTCTAATCACCATCCATTACAGTTAAACCTCTTTAGGACGAACACTAAGGGACCGGTGGTATTTATTCGCAATAACGAGAGTTCTCCTTATCCATATCTTATACCCAGTGAATACACAGTGATATATTGAATAGAGCTATGAACACTAGTTCTTCTAAAGCGAACGTTTGTCTTATCAGTGTTCTTCTTAACGAACTATCCATTATGTTGTCTGAGGATTGGCTCTGGTGGTATTTTATGTACCTTTGCATGCTTGGCTGCGTCCAGATGAGCTTTCTTCTTCATTTCGATCACCTGCTGTGCGATGGACTTCTCCCATGCCTGCTTTTCGGCCACAGTCCCGCAGAACGTGTCAAACTTCTCCTCGAGCTCAAGCAGCTGGAAGCAGAACACACAAGAACGCCATACAGAGACAGGGCCATGAAGAAAATCTCAGCATATTGCCTGAGCCATGGATCATTGTGTAGGAGAGTGCTTAATTAATACTGTTTGAATCGCGCTGAGTGAGTGAAATCGTTAAAACGTAAAACGAAAGCAGCCTGAAGTCTTCTGTATTTCGGTATACCGCTCTTCAAGCTGGTGTGGTGAGCATTCTGTCAAGCTTCCCTGTCCAGCCCTGACAAATCTCACTGTCAACAGTGTTATTGTACACACAGTCTGGGGCATGAAGAATACAAAATGTGAATCTTCCCTATAGGTTGGTGCATGGCAGGAAAGGCCTCGTGGCATACAACATTTCTCTCCCATGTTTTAAATCTCTGGTTGATCGTACACTGTTTGTGGCTCAGTAACTTTGATCGCATGGCTCTGCGAGGCTTGGAAACTATTGTTCCAGATGACAGTACATTATATTTCGGAACAGACCATAGTGCGCCAGCAGAGTAAAGCATTATATAAGGGCACAATCTGCACACATACCTTCGCTTTGTTGACGGCGAAGCTATCGCGATCATCAGCCAGTCCTAGCAGAGTCTGCTGCTCGACAAACTCCATGTTGCCCTCCACCGCTCTCCGTGCCTCCGTCATGTAGGTGGACTTGCGACGGAGCTCATTGCCGGTGACTCCCTCTGCACATGTGCGGAAAAAACAAGGAATAGGGGGCATGAGAGAAAAACAAAATTCATGGGAGCCAAACCAATGCTTTTTTTGCCGGGGTAAGTAGCCACAGCAAATGTGTATGCAATGCAGGGTGCCCTAGTTAGCACAAGAAGTAGATGTGAAGAGTTTGGGGCCACACTGGGCAGCAGAGCATGCAATTCAGCGAGTGCTATGGAGAAACAAATGTAGGTAGATCAAACTGCGGCCAGCAAAGATAAATGAGAGCACAGGCAGCGAAAACAAAGCCAAGAGAGATGAGGACTCGGGTGCAAGCCTCACTCTTAACCCCGAGTAATTCACCCAAACTAAGTCGGTGCTGCTTATGCTACGATGATCAAAATAACTGTGATAAAGAGGACAGATGTCAGCATTTAGTGACACAAAATCTGGGTGCTGCCTGTACTTCGGGAACCACGGTACCCAACCTTTCTGGTGTACAAATTGTCTGAGTCTACATTGTTCATCCGTCCAGCGGTATACTGACCTCGTGTGGACGCTTGCATGGACTTCTCTTTGGTGACCTGTTTGCGCTGTCCGACATACTGCATATCCCTATCATTGCTCATGGCGGTGCGACGGTGAGTGCTGGATGGTACAAGAGATGCATGTACAGACAAAAAAAATGCTTTACTGGTTTGGGCCCAGAGGTCATGGTCAATTTTCAGCCCATCAATCCGAAGAACGGACCGCCGAAGAACGGGCCGCCGAAGAACGGGCCGCCGAAGAACGGACCGCCTAAGAACGGCCAGGATAGAATTTCACCAATTTTCAAGAACAGTGTAGGCTGGTTTTTTAAAGATAAAACGGAAACCGTGATATACACTATGTTAGGTTCAGGTTGTTGAACCTAACAACTATAATGTACACTCAGACGTTTAGCTCTGCATAAATGGACATGTAACACTGTACCATCGAAGAAGAACCAAACTGCTGTGTTCGCCTTACAATAAGAACAGGCTAGGCTAGAACCCTGACCCCCAGTTCTTCGGCGCCGGACAGTACTGTATGCTTCCAACTTCCAGCAGGCCATGCTATAAGCCAACTCGAGGTAAACATTGTGCATTGCCGGTGGACTGAACTGCAGCTTAGAGTAGTATGACTGTGTCAAGTTAGTTTACCCCATTTTGGGGCAGGACACGGACCGACCATGAAACCGGCTCCCTACAGACTACTACGGGTGCATAATAATCATGTGTGCGGGACATCTCCAAGGTAGTCCCTGCCTCGCTTACAGGCTTTCCCACTATGCATGTACAGTCAACTTCGCTAATAACGACTGCGGATATAACGACAATTCGCGAATAACGACAGAACTTCAATGCCCAGAGCAAAGTCCCATCCAACTGTAATATGTATAATGAGACTTCGGGTATAACGACACTTCGCGAATAAGGACACTGTTCTGATGCCCTGCCGAGTGTCGTTATAAGCGATGTTGACTGTAGGCAACTTTTGACCTCAGAATAATGTAGGGCAGGTCTGCTCAAGACCTGGGTCTATATACCCAAAGCCAAGGGTTATACTGAATGTAAAGTAGGATACGAATGGCACACAAAGAACCCTCAACGTTTCAAGTGCCCCTAGCGTGGACGACTGGATCATGTCAGCAAAGTCCACCCAGGTGCAGGGCATTAATACGATAGGGCAGGCACACACTAAGTCCTGCTTATAACACAAATCTTGTCTTATGAAGAACTTACTCGGCGAGGCGAGCTTCTCTCTCGTCCTTTTCTTGTGATCTCTGTGCAATGATAGCATGGCACGACAAGAGCGTTCCCGGCACATGTGAACACGATCATATACATGTCCATGTTCAATAATGTATAGACAGACCGTCAGACACATTTGCGAAGTCACACGCACACACATGTACACACACACGCATGCACGCACGCACGCACACACACACACACACACACACACACACACACACACACATACACATACACACATATACACACATACGCGCACATGTGCACACATGAAAGAACACGCGTGTCTAAAGGCTTCATTTCCTTACCTTCATGTCAGCTCTTCTGAGTCTCTCTTGCTCCCTGATGGAAAATTGAAGAAAAGAACGACAGTGAACAGACATCCTGATATGATGCCTAAAGCACCCATGTGCAGGGAATAAGACAATGAGCGAGGCATCCATGCTATGATGGAACAAAAAAAACAGGAGACAATTAGAAACTCACTCTAGCTTGGATGCTGCAACCTGAGGCTAGCTGGTGTGCCGCTAATCCACGACTTTGCCAAAGCTTTTCAGCTGATGATGTAAGCGCATAACCTCCCAGGGGCGCCATTAGATATTCTAGGGTGGTATGGTCAACCACCTGAAGTACACGTTACCTGTGGGGTTGGGTGGCTTCTCTGAAAATTTCAAATTCAGACCCCACATCAGTCCTGTTTATTGATTCCAAGGAACCATGGGCAAATCGTGGAGCGGTCAATACCGTGGAGACCATAGCGTGTCTGATGTCCCTGCCTCCATTGCTACAAAGTACTTCAGACTATCCCCAGCTGAAGCACAGCATTAATCACACATGCCTGCATTCATGTACGTACTGATGAAACTCGTCGCCTTGCTTTCTTCGCATCTTGGCCTTCATCTCCAGTGCCAACTTGGTCTCCAGCGCTTCTTTCTTCAGCTTTGCTTTCTCCGCCTGTTCATAGAAGAAACGTAATGACACAGATACATGTAATTGCTATTTAGGACCAGAGGCTGGAGATAGGTTGAGAGTAAGAGGCCACATGGGTTGAAAAAAATCCCGGTGACACAGAAACACATTCAAGTGAGCAGGTAGGTGCACAAGCTCACACATACCATTGAACATAATTTATGCCTTCTTGAACGCACATACTCAAGCACGCATAAACACACACACACACACCACTCTAAAAGCAATGCCCACCTCTAGTCTCCGCCAGCGGTCTTCGAAATCACGCTCAGATCGCGCCGTCTCTCTTGCAGCTGTTTCCATCTGCTGCATCAGTTTGGTGTGCTTAAAGTTTAGCTCATGCCTGCAAAGAAAAAAAAGAAAAAGGTTTGTCTTTATGCTCAACAAGTTTAGCACAACAAAAAAGAACAAAGAACACATAACAACGCAAAGCAGCATAGCCACAGGGCATAGCAGCCGGTCTGGCTTTGGCCGGACCACAATGCCAAAAGTGCCCAGAATTCAGGATTTCGCAGCCTAATTTCCAAATTTCCCGGGGCCACCCTGGACCCCTCTCCGGTCGAGCCACCTCGAAAGGCGGTGCTACGCGCCTGAGCCAGTGGCTGGCAATGACTAAGATCCGATCAGGAACGTAGGCTACAGCGAATTGAGGACCTGCATCTGGCCTGTGCCTATGCTGTGCAGTCTCGCACCGGACCACCATGATTATCATGGCGACGCACACAAATTAGGTGCTTTCCAACTCACTTATGGCCGTTGGAAAGCGTATCAAAGGTTGAAACAACTCAAAGGTTGAAACAAAATCAACAATGGATGCAAGGAAGGACAACATGCTGTAGTTATTCATAGGTCGTAATCTAACGTTTCCAACCTACTGTAAAAGCCATATATATAACGAAGTGCTAACTCTAACGAGTTAACGAGGGGATAAAAAAAAAAAAAAATTTCACGGTTCGCGTGAGACTCGGCTGGAAGCCGGGTTTTCCGCATCCGTAGGAACGCCACCACCCTTCAAGGATCAAGGCGCAGATGCAGCTCCTAAAGCGGTGGGAGGTGAGTAGATCAGCTCACCAGCAAGTGGTCAAAGACCGAAAATCCCATTCACTGCATCCATGTTTTCCTCGAGGGGATATCTGTCGTTAAAATAGAAATCGTTATGCAGAAATCGATACATAATTATACTGTCCTACTGAGCGTTGAGAATCGTTACCTTTGGTACACGTAAACCAGTCAATTTTTGGGAAATCGTTATATATGCGCCTCGTTAGAATAAGTATAATTATGTTATCGCATGGTTGCAAGGGCCTTATGGCATATTATTGCCCCGAGAGGTTAGCCCGAGGGCCGTATTTTGTCACATGGCTCACAGAGCAGACCATCGGGCTGCTGTTGAAATTAGCCCAAATGCCAACACATTATGACCACAATGTATATTGATGTGCTATCATTATCAAAACAGGAAAAATGAAGATATTTCTCCTACACCCTAACAAAAAGTCTTCTACAGGCCATCAGAGAGTATACAGTACTGAAAGACGGAGACAGAAAAAAGTGCCGGCACCGCATCGTCATAGCAATAGACATGGCAACGACAATAAAATACAGCAGAATCATAATTTCAATTGAAAAATTAAGAGTGCTACCACAAAGAGTTTCTTCATGTTTACATGTGTATCAGGAAGTTGTCAAATACAGTACTGCAACAAGTGCAAGTATTTGACGACTCCCTGGTGTGTAATTCTGAGGACAATTTTTCTTCTTTTTTCAGCTCCAGATAGCTGTATTTTTCATTGCAAAACATTCCTGAATTGTTGTGTTTGTTGTTCAAGCAAAGGTGAGATGAGCCTGGTAAGAGTTTTGCGTGGCACATGAAGACCACACACAGGCAGTGACTTTGCGAGGATTTGAAAACGCACGACGCTGAGTTGAATTTGTGTTATTTCAAATAATTGTTTGTGATCACAGTACCACTTCGAGCAGAACTGAATCTTATCCACAAGCTTACCGACGGTCAGGCTGCCAACATGACTGAACAAATGATCCCTGCAAGCACCACACGGCAGACGTTCGAGACCATGTCCATTGCCGGGATGTCCATCTCCAAAAAGAATTCCATCTTCGTCTCAATGCTACACTGCGACTCGTCGTAGAGTCGTACAGTCTACAGAGTCGTCGTCCGATCGTAGTCACGCGATCACTGAAATACACTATTTATTTGCGGGCAAATAAACTATTTGTTTGCGGGCAATATCGCATATTATTGCCCGCGGCGCGAAAGGTGCTGATTCGCTGGAGTACGGGCAACAATCACGTGCCATGTGATAATGCCTTTTATCATGAAAAATAATCTGCAATGAAGGGAGGGGGAGGGGTATTTTCACAAGCAGTTGCAGTTGTTGAGCAATTTCAATGAGCAGTACTGTACATAAGTATTCACATACTCTTCTTTGTGATTCTGCTTGATTGCCTGGTTCTGGCGTACTCGTCTCTCCGTCAGGAATCGTTGCTTCTCCTTCCGTGCCTACAGCACCACAACCGCACACACACAAAACAAACAACCGCTCATACTCCCGCGAAAATGCACACATTCCAGCGCAAACACATGAAAAACCCAAATTTGCGAATCCACAGGATGGCGCCAAAGATTTTCTTTTGTACCGAAGGTAGCGAACGGATCAGATAGAAATGAAACAGATCAAGAATTGTAGGAGGTAAGTGCAAATCGACACAAGTGGCGAAGGCATGCGTCTCGATTGGAAATCGCTGCACATACAGCATGTGGGACACACACACACACACACACACACACATATACACACAGAACACTGTACAGGCCGAGTGTGTGCCAGCATAAAATACCTCAGCTTGTTCATGTTGGTGACGGGACTGCTCAAGCTTCATTGTGCGATCTGCCTGGCGCATCTCCTCATCAATATCCTTCGACCGCTTCAGCAAATCTGAACAAGAAGATGAAATTGTATCAATCAAAACCATCGCTAGTCCACTCAGACCCAAGCTTAATGATAGCTCACATTAAACCGGTCCTACCGGTAGGACCTACCGGTAGTATCATCATACACAGTCATTCCCCACGTGTGCTCCAAAAATATATTTAAAAAAATTAAAAAAATCACGGTTCGCGTGAGACTCGGCCTGAGGCCGGTTTTTCCGCAACCGTAGGTACGCACGCCACCACCCTCCGTGGGCCAAGGCGCAGATGCAGCTCCTAAAGCGGTGGAAGGTATAGATGTGACCCACCACAATGTGGTCAAGCAGTACTTGAACTTGGTGCACTCTGTTTCTCAATCACGGTCTTTGACCATCCCCACTAGGCCTGCCTCTGTTGTAACATTGACCTACAACCTGGCCCCATGCTCGTATTGTGCGCAAGGGGCTAGTGAAGTAGTGCAACACTTTTAGACATGACCGAACAAGGTGTATTACGAAATGACATGGCAAAAAACTATCGTAACCGTGGAAATGGAGGAAAGAACTACAGAGTGACTTCAAGCATGCAAGCTATCATTATAAAGAATGCAAGAAACACATGGCAAATAACAAGATTCTTAACCAATTGAGTACAGCACCCTAACCTTTTTCGGTCTTTCCCTCAACCTCTTTCCGCTCCTTGGCCTTCCGCCTTAGCTCCATGTCTTGTTGTCTTAGCTGTCTTTCCGTTTTCTGGACTTGCGATAGAGTACCCTGCAATGATAGGCATGACAGCCATTATCAGCACTTTACAGCATTCGAGTAATAACAAATATTACGTACATCTTTCAAGAAGCTTCCCTGGGAGTGGATGCTACACCGGCAGTTCAAGAGAAAAGAGACTAAGAACATTATGGCCCAGTGCGTAACAAACTTCACCCTGGTTGTTGCATACGATGCCTGAAGTGCCTCGTTTCGTTACGCAAGCCAATGGCCGTGATAGAGATCGAGAGAGCTGAATGTTTCACTCATAGCTAGGACTAGTGATCCTTGAGGGTGGTGGGGTTCCTAAGGATGCGGACAGCCCAGCCGTTTCTCACGCAAACTGTGACATTTTTTCTAATTTGTATCCTGGAGAACTTTACCTTGAGACCTCCAAGCGTGTGCTCACGCTCCTCGACTGTGTGCCTCATGTTTGCTTGTATGCGCCGCAACGAGTCTGGGTCGCCGGTGCGTCTCTTTGCTTCGCTCTGTGGAACGTAGGATGCGGCAGCCGACCTCCTGCAAAACATTCAGAGCATCCAGACAAAGGCCCATGTACCTTCATCACCTTTTCCACTCCCTAAATGAGGCCGTTACCCCCCCCCCCCCCTCCTGTCCAGTCTAGGTTTGCCAGACCTTAGCCTTCAAACAACATTCAATGTACTGATTTTGTGCAGTACTGTCGGTCGCCAAAGAACGGAGCGCCGAAGATCAACCAGGCTGGGATTTCATCAAGCACAGCACACAAATGTATACACGGTGACTCAACTGTGCATAGACTGCAATACATGAAAATAGGAATGTTCTAGGCTAGGAGGCTGACCCCAGTTCTTCGGCCACCGCCAGTACTGTACTCAAGTGTGTAATACGTTTCCATCAAAATTCATCATGCAATAGTAGTGATGCAAAGATGGCTACACTTACTATTACCCTCTCTGGAGCAGTTTCTGATATCAAGCAAACGCATATACATGTGCCTGCCTTGAATCGCCCACAAAATAACAAGCATGCAAACTCACAGTTTCACATACATTCTACATACACACCCACACACACTCTCCCCCCCCCCCCCACACACACAGGGGGTTGACTCTTGGTGTACGTACACTCTTTGCCGCTGAGCACGTTTCTTCGGGTCGGCCGGCTCCAGGTCCAAGAGGCGTGTTGCCATTTCCTCATAGCGTCCGCGTAACCGGTCATATCTACACGGAGGAAACACAACAGTTTCACAAAAGAAAGTTTCTTTTATCACAGTGCACATACCTACGGAAGAAGGGGAAACAAAAACAAAGACAAAACAACAATGGGTGGGTAGACGCTACATGAGCTGCGTGGGTGAGGGCATTGTCTTGTTACTCAGAGCTCCATGGTCTAACAGCCAATCATTGTCTCTGCACATCACAATCATTGAGGACTACAGCAGCCTACGGCACACTGCCTCTGTACATTGAGGATTCCAGTAGGCTAAGACACACTCTGTACATTGAGGAAACAACATTGTCCTCACAATTTCACAATAGAAGCAGCATAGGCAACATTAGGTGCCAAGTATACATAGCTCGGAAGTACCGGCCCGGCTAGTCAGGCCAAGGCCGGACCAACCTTTAGCCCACCAAGGTGTGTTTACAGCTGAGGAGGTCATGTGTATACCATCCATATCATACACAAACTGTATGAAAGACTAGGGTATGACCGGACCAATCAAAAAACAGCTTCCACCGGTCCTGCAAGTATACCCATCTCTGCCTGTGAGGTTGAATTTAACATCACGTGGAGAAAGGATGCAGCAAGCCCGTTTCACCAGCTGCATGCTACAGTGAGCGATCTCATCCATGTTCTTCATGGCGTTGTAACAGGTCTTGCAACAGGTTATGAAGGCTGCGGCAATGGAACTGGCTGCGTGTGAGATGTGCCACGAATAGGGAAATTGAAGGAAAACATACTGCTAGTACTAGCACACCCTAACGATAAAGCAAGTAAAGCCTTGAATGTGATGAGTCCAATCGCGTCGTAACTACCGTAGAGAAATATAAAGAGAGATATAAGGCCTGAAAGAAACCCCGAATAGAGGCGAACGAAACATTCTGACGACCTGTATGCTTTGTTTGACGAACTCACAAACTGTTCATAAAGAAATAAAGCTCTTGCAAATGTTCAAGCAACCACTCCATCACATTCGTAAAACAACCAAGAATTGGACGATCTGCAAATCGCTTTCTTTTTCGAATAGCTGCTGTTACCTACAAGGGTGACCAGGGGATGAGGGTGGTTGGCTATGGTCTGCGCATAGTCATGTACATTTTTATTTGCAGTACAAGCATGGGACTGCACGTACCTACGCATGCATCGGCGAATGTTCGACACCTTGAAGTAGCGAATCGGATTCTCTTCAACTCCCATTTGGAACGAACCTAGTCGAACGTTCTAATATTCCTTTCACCCCTAAATCATTCAACAATGACTCAAATCAGTAGAGGATAATGATGATGAGAAATGTGACAGTCTAATCAGCGACACGTCTAACTATGTCCCCTGCTTGCCTGGATGCAGTATGCAAGGACATTTTCATCACATCAAACTACTGTTAATGTGAGGGCACCAAACAAATGCTACCTAGATGTCTACTTTGCCAAATTTCAATCTGTGTTATATACTTCGAAGCAGATACTGTTATGCTGTAACTGGGAAAAAAGCACAAGTTTTAGTTCGCGATTTGTGAGCACAGACCAAGTAATAGTTGCACCTGAAAATATTTGCTATTGCAGTCAATTTCATTAGTTATCTCACCACTCCAGCCCTACAAATCACGCCGGCTTATTTCTTGCGATTTTATACCCGTAGCAAAAAATCGGAACATTCCCCGGTCTGTAGTAAGGATTTTGTGAGGAATCTAGTGCTTAATTGATTGCCCACCTCCTCTTAATAGGAAATTGCTCTCAGGTTTGGGGCACCTCGTTATCTTGAACAGAATCCGTCCGGGAGTGGAGAAGTACCTTTCACCCGGGCAGTCCGGCTTTTGCCGCAACAGGTCGACGGCGGATGTAGTCTGGTGCAAGAGGTGGCTTTCGTCGATTGTGGAGAGATTCAGTGCAGAAATTCATGTCCTCGGCCTTGATTTCAGCAAGGCATTTGATACTGCGAACAGAGAGAAGCTTCTGCAAGTACTCCGCAGTGAGCAGATTGCTAATGACGATGAGGTACGCATCATTCGATACCTCATGGCCAACACGACACTTGAGGTGAAGATAGAATCATCTAAGTCACCTGCATTTCCAACCACAAAGGGAATACCACAAAGAGACGGACTTTCACCTGTACTGTTTACGGTATACCTCGAAGCTGCACTACGTGATCTTTGATCAGCACTACCACCAAGACCGACTGCCGATGCGCAGATACAACCGGAAACAGCATATGCCGACGACGCTGACTTCATATCAACGTCCCACACATACCTCCGTCAGCTTCTGGCACTTGCAGAGGACATCTTCGACAAGTGGGACCTGAAAGTCAATGTTTCTAAAACGGAATGGGTCGGGATGTACCTTGAACCAGTTTCAGAAGCAGCAGTGCACCGTGGTCAAGAGCATTGGAGAAGCATCAGGACTCTGGGCGCTCTGTTTGGCACTGCACAAGATGTGACACGCAGGATTGGTCTTTCTGCTGTGGCATTTGGTCGAATGAAGGCGATCTGGTTTCGGCGGCAACATCTACAAACTAACACCATGGTACGACTCTACAACGCATACGTTCTTCCTATCCTCACGTACAATATTGGCTGCGCAGGCCTCTCTAAGGCACTGGAAGACTCCCTGGATAAGATCCATCGCAAGCAACTTCGGCATATGCTTGGTATCTTCTACCCTCGTGTCGTGTCGAATGATGACCTGTATGAGCTTGCTCACACTGAGCCAATATCCGCTATGGCAAAGCGAGCGAGATGGCGTCTGCTTGGACACATCCTACGCCAGCCATCATCGACACCAGGCAATCAAGCAATGATTGCATACGCATCAATGGAGGACGCTGTGAGGCACAGGAGGGGAGCTCCAAGGTCCTGTTTAGTCACCACCCTCCAGCAAGACGTCAAGTTCACCGCCGTCGCATTGAAGACGAGCCGGCACCTCGAAACCCTAAGAAGTTGTGCAGTTGACCGGCAGAAGAGGAGTAACATTTGTTCTGCGGTGGTGTGAACACACATGACCGACTGTGATTTTGGTGTGGACACACATGACTGACTGTGATGATAAATGATTTCATTTCATTTATCTTATTTTATTTTTTATTATTTTATTTTTCTAAGAAAGAGCTTTGTTGATGTGGTGTATTGGAACTCATGTGAAATCTACACCGTGATTGTTTTCGTCAAATATTTTATCTTCTCTTTTCTCTCTCTCTGCCGCGGTGCTTTTTGTTACTCCATTGTCGTGAGTTCCGTTTGGAACGTAGACGAGAATTATTATTATTATTGTCTGTTTCATCACCACTTTACCGCCTATGACGCTCACTTTGCTAGAGCCACACATTCAGCCTGGGAGCTGTGCTACGCGGCACTGGCCAGAGAAATTCAACCTCGTGAGCAATATACAGTCAACTTCGCTTTGACTGCGGATATAACGACAATTCGCGAATAACGACATAATTTTCATGCCCAGAGCAAAGTCCCATCCAACTGTGACACATATAATAAGACTTCGGGTATAACGACACTTCGCGACTAAGGAGACTTTTCTGATGCCCCGCCGAGTGTCGTTATACCGTATTATCTCTAATATAAGCACAGTCTCCAATAATAGCACGTCTCCAATAATAGAACACCTTGGGGCGGCATTCAAAAAATAAAGTGCTCAGTCTCCATTATAAGCACACTGTGTAAATTCATTATCTGTACCGGCGAAAAAACCCTGAAATGTGTGTGTTTGACATGAATTTGGCATGGCAACATGCCTCTGAAATGAGGTTGAAATAATAATGGAACAGTCTCCAATAAAGGAACGTCTCCAATAATAGTACGGGGCGGAGGTACATTGAAAAAATAAAGGACCGTGCTTATATTAGAGATAATACGGTAAGCGAAGTTGACTGTAGCGTTGTGCGGTACGCAACCCTGGCATTGCGCACACTGCTCTGTGCTCTCAAACCCAGCGCTACTATCCTTGCCGTTGTATTTCATCTGCCAACACTCTAGGTCCACTGTCCATGCTATGTTACATGAACATACACTGCACTGCAGTTCCTCTATTGTGTGCTATCCAAGTTAGTTGTGGTGATTTTCAAGCAAGGGCTGCATATGGGCCAGGGAACTCTGTGCGGACAGAGTCAGTGTGACTGCAGTGAGTGCAGTCGATAACCAGCTGTGGCATTGCAAAGATAGTACATTGTTTGTACTGCTATGCATTTCAATGGTGATGTTTACTTCTGCTTGCAGTTTCTGCTCTTTTACTGCAGCTTCACGCGCAGCGAAGCACAGTTCTATGAGAAATTCTGAACTCGGCCAAAAACGGTCGTCTGAGATCCATACACACAAGCTTACTTTTCAAGGGATTGGTCCGTCAGCGGCATGGTGACCTGAGATGCGACGGGCCGTAGCCCTAAAGACTAGAGAGGTTGCTCAAACAATTCTTGTAGCGCTTGCAGGCCAGCGAGCGATGGGCGGATTCGCTTGACCCAGTGGCAGCGGGAATCCAGTCGCTCACGGCAGCCGCCGATACTCTATCAACAACGAACCTCCACGGAAAATTGTGTGCGCTTCCTCTTTGCCCATGGGGTAAAACACTGGGCCCTCCAATACGAAAAAGAGATCGCACGTCAAGCCAGTTGGAGGAAAATACTGAACTCAAAATTGTAGCGCAGCTGTTGTGAATCTCGGAGATTTTTTTGTTTACACAGTCCGTCACGGCGTCAGCTGAGACCTGATCTGCCACATGCACATGCATTCCCGCTGGGCTCGATTTCTTCGTGGAGCTTCGTGGACATGAGCTCTCGAATGACCATGATGACTGCACTGACACTTGACCATGTTGACAGTCTATTCGGAGCCAGTCTGTTGATCTTCTGAGTTCTGTGGTACGTGGACCTGTTTGCGCACCAAATTTTGTGCATGACATGCCGGAGTCTCTTGTAGTATCTAGACTACGGCTCGGGTGGACTGGCTTAGATACGACGCGCTCCGCCTCAGCAACGACATGGTATATTATGGGTGTCTTGGCGACAATCGATCACGTGATCTGGCAGATTTGACACTCCTCTGCAGGAATACTGAGGATACGTATCTACGTACTTGGACAATATTATAGGAAATAAAAGCCGAGAAAAAGACGGAGGCGAAGCCGAGGTCTTTTACGAGGTTTTTATTTCCTATACTGACCAAGTACGAAGTCAATATTAGATTTATCACGACAAACAGTCCGTATTTCAAATTCCAGAACGATAACCTCATGAATCCCGGTTTTATGATTGCACAACCGTTGCACCACCACCTACTCATGCAGTGACAATGCTGCACTAGGCACCGTTCAACTGCGCAACCCCTAAGCAGTCAAATATAAGCAGTCAATATAGCCCTAAGGAGTGAAATATGCAGGAATATTTGACTGCTTAGGTATAGCGAAAATCAATGGGAGTCAATACTAAGGGAGTGATAAAGTATAGTAGAGTAGAGTATACTCAACAGTCTACAGTCAGTCTACACCTCCTGGCCTTGGGAGTCGTCGTTGGGACCATATGCCATAATTATGCATTTATGGCCTAGTAATACTTCAAGTACATTATACATTGTAGTACAATCAAGACTGTATCTCAGACGTGACGTGGCTTGGCTGTTGGATTACTGTTCTCTTCTCGTACTTCGCAATCTACACGACCACCTAATAATTACAGCATATTATAGGTATGGTGTGTTGTGTGCTGACTGCTGAGGTTTTATCAGGAATGGCATCATTCGCTGACCATGTTTTGTGTGGTTGGTACCAGGGCAGCTGCCAAACAAGCTCTTGTACACGACGCCGTACATAATGGTCGTACCTGTTCCCGCTACGAGTATTATGAGGTCTTGAAAGTGATAACATCTGAAGTCAACAAAATACTTCTGGGTATGCATTGAATGATTCTCAGCATCATACTATTCATACACATAGAGAAGCCTGTGTATGTCGTCCTTATGTGGACAATGGCATGCCTTTCGTATAATAATAACTACACATTGTCCCGGGCCACTGTCGGGCCAGAAAAGCACACACACAATGCAGCAGGCTGCTGCCTCTTCAACACCCATACTGGCGCACGGACATCGGCCCGTGCTCTAGCGAAAATGTGAGCATCTTGATTGTATGAACAGTTCTGCTTCATTGCTCCATGTCAGGTTGATCATTGGCAACGCCAGATAATAACGCACAAGCACACATTCATAGTGCGTCAAAAATTTACAAAATAAAAAAATTCTGAAATCAGGCCAACTCATGTTGGAAATACGCCATGTGATGTCATACCTTGGTGTGTAGTGAAAGCGCCACGGGATGAGACCAGTGTTATCACGAGACCCTTATACTTCTACCACAGCAGCATACATGTACGATGGGTAGCATCAAAGCAGCACAGTGCATACTGTATTGTCCGCCGTCAGCTTAGCTGGTCTAATAACATGTAGCAAAGAATGGCCAGTGCAAAAAAATGTTCGAAAGATATACTGGGGCACCAGGAGTATTCTTTGGGAATTCAAGTTCATCACACTTCCATCCTAAAAGTTTTCAGCCTGCATTGTTGGAGGTGTACTTTCCGAGGCCTTTCTATTCATGACAACATCCACGGACGGAAATGAAATTTGAAACAGACACACTGCTTTTGTTTGGGCGAAAATATTCCCGGCAAACATATCCACTTGCAAAGTACTCAAGGGTCAGATAATTCAATGTAAAAAAACGAAGTATATGCAGCTATTGTTCCATCTTGCCACTATACCAGACAAGGATTCAGTTACCCGTCTTGCTGGTTCGTCGCCATCTTCTGCTAGGATGATGCTTTATCTGCCTCCTTGAATTGAGTCAACAAAGATATCTCCTTCTCGATGCTGTCACGGACAACCTGCCATGGTGAAACAATGCAGCGAAGTGGAACAGTCACAAAACACATCCACCTTGAGATTAATTTAAAGCCACAATTTTAAATTGGATATAACGAACCTTCTTTGGGAGATTTTGTATCAGTGGAAACGCTCCAAAGCTCAAGGATCAAGGCGCAGAAGTACCTTCTAAATTCAATCTGGCAAAGGCAGTTCTTCACATACCCTTGCCTGTAGCACTCAGAATGAGGAGCCAGCAAACTGGTGCTGGTGTACTGTGGTGCATTTATTATTATTATTATTTTGCTTGTTCGCGTTGGCATCAACCTGCATAAAGCAGGTATATAGCCTTCGCTTAAGCTGCCATAAAAAAGAAAGCTCATCCTAAGCGAGAGGGCTAGAGGGAAATATAACGATAACGAGATACAGAATACAAAGAAATCCAATGAGTTCAACGTACAATTCAAAACAAGAAAGAAAGGAAAGAAAAACAGAGCCGAATCTACCGATTGATCCATCAATCGACAAAGGGGACTAATCCGTTAGTGTTGCAAAGTAGAAGCTGATTATAGTTGCAGATCTCCAGGCCAGGGCCAGCATATTGCCGATTCTGGATAGGTCTCCGCAGCATTTGATGTGGTAATTATCATAATGTTTGATAAAATTGTTAGAGTATCTAGTATCTAGAGTACCAAGTATCTAGTATCTAGAGTATCTAGTGTAATTGTATCCGTTATTATTGTTAAGGGTATCTAGTGTAATTGTATCCGTTATTATTGTTAAGGGTATCTAGTGTAATTGTATAACTTCAGCCATTACACACAGCACACATTAGTTCCTTCCACTTTGGACGATCCTGGGCGAGCTGCCTCAGTGCAACTAGATCCTCGTGTGATGTGAGGGAGTTTGTGGATCTGGAATTTTTCAGGTCGTTGTTGATGGATCGCGGGAGTGTTGTTCTCGGGCGGCCTCGGAACCCTGAGCTTCCTGGCTGAAAGTATGCTGACATAGCCTGCTGGACCGGGGATGAGGTGTCTAGTCGAAGCATGTGGCCAAACATTCTCCACCTAGCAGACTGGATGATTCTGCTGAGTGGCTTGGAGCCAGTGCGCTTGTACAGTGCTTGTGCATGGCAGCTGAAATCCGACTCCTGGACTTTTACGTACGAGTGCTGTACTCAGGCTTTCAAATGAATATTAGCGAGCAGGCTGCATGCCCCATGGCATGCGAGCAAAGTGTGCAGAACGCTATCTGGTCTCCGTATGGATACATCTCTCCTGTGACTTAAAAAATCTCACATTTTGAGTTTTTTGCACTCCATACATAATTTTATTTTCATTAAAAATTATATTGGTTTGGTGAGACTCCCATGATAGGTATCCATTTACCTCTGTAGAATCCGTAAATAAACAAAACAAACAAAAACAAACAAACATTCACATGCATCCATATGTACAATTGCACTATAAGCCTCCCCACCAGCCATGGTATAAGTGGAAGATACGGCATGCGTACAGTGTCGTATTTGTAGATATGGCAGCATGCGTTGTGCATGTTTCGTTGCTGCTGCGCTCGCATGCTGTGTTGATGTATTGAGAACCCACTGAAGGTTACACTTTTGTCTCCGTTCCCACTGCAGCTCACAGCGGCCGCTAACACCCGGAAACCCAGTGGCAGATCCAGTGCCTAACAGTAGGCGAGGGGACAAGTTTTACATCCAATAGCCCAAGTGCCGAAACTCCGTTACCCGCATCCATGTACCCCTTGCGTCTGGCCACAAGTTCCCATGGGTAACAGCACGGCTGAAAAAAATACCCTAGGCAGGACTTAAACGACGCACATCTACAGTCAACTTCGCTACTAACGACTGTGGATATAACGACAATTCCCGAGTAACGACAGAATGTCCATGCCTAGAGCAAAGTCCATTCTACCTGTATACATATAATGAGGCTTCGGGTATAACGACACTTCGTGAATAACGACACTTTTCTGATGCCCCGCCGAATGTGGTTATACGCAAAGTTGACTGTACAGTATCCTGGGGCCCACCTTATTCTTGGTCTACGTCAACGACCTTGAAGACCACCTCCCAATCGGCTCCAACCTTGCCTCATTCGCCGATGACACAACCCTATATGCCGAAATTGCAACGCTCGCTGCTGTTCCTGACAACGCTAGAGTACTCCAGGCTGCTGTCGACCTAGTATCCAGTTGGGGCTCGGATTGGAAAGTGCAGTTCGAGCCAGCCAAATCTCAGGCCCTTACAATTTCCCACCATCGTCGGGACTGGCCAATACCCCCCATTGTCTTCAATGGAACTCCTGTCGAGGAGCAGCCCTCCATCAAAGTACTCGGCGTCACGTTTGACCATCAGCTAAAATTCAGCCAGCATATCCGAACTGTTGTAGTCCGAGCAACGCAGAGACTTGGAGCCTTGCGCAAGGCATTTCACTTGCTGACTATTCCTGCCCGGCTTCGAGCCTACAAAGCCTTTGTCCGGCCGGTTATGGAGTACTGCCCAATCGTCTGGATGGGGGCAGCTCCTTCCCACTTGAATCGGCTGGACTGGGTGCAGGAGCGAGCCATTAAGGCAATACATCCGCAATGCTGGCTTCCTAGCCTCATAATTCGCCGCACCATCGCTGCCCTCTGCCTCCTGTATAAAGCCCTTTGCGATAATTCTCCCGCTCTTCTCTCGAGAATGGCTCCACCCCCGACACACCAACCCAGGACCACACGCCTCACCCGCCAGGCTGTACGACTGTCCACCGCGCATCCCCATCAGTTACAGAATGTTCTTCCTGCCAATTCCCGGAACAATGTGAGCCGAGCCTTTCCCCACTCCGCCATCCCAATTTGGAACCAGCTGCCTACCTCTATCATTCCCCACCCATTTCACCCAAAGAACATTCAAAAGTTCAAGACAGCAGCTTATCACCATCTCCTCAGAACGAACTGGAACTGGGCCACTCAGAGCATACGCGAGTAAGAGGGTACAGTGTCCTACCCTGCTTGGACATACATGTAATCTCTTCTCACGGACAGTCCCCTCTTGAATTTAAAAGTCTAACAGCGTTCACATCAATATTCAACTTATTCTTTTGCTCACTGAGCAATACAATCTTTCCATTTTCTTTCTTCTGTTTTCTTTTTCAATTTAATCCTCCCCACCCAATATCCCTTTGGTGCGTCCATGGAGCTATGAAGCCGAGACCTCTGGTCGGCGGAGCCTAATGGGCCCCACCACCACACTCCATCATTCACCCCAGTGTCTGGAGATATGTGGATTTTGTAGAGAAAAACAAAAAACACTAAAACAAAACATGTACCTCTCGTATCTCAATCCTGGTCCTAGACCAACTCACTGTTTCTACCCTGTCACGCAACCACTGTACATGAGAGGAAAACCAGGGGTGGATTATTCCACGCTGCATATGTATGCATAACATCAATTTGTGAAAGTGATGTGCCCTCTGTGTGCTGAGCATATTTTCAATAGCTCTTGGTATTCTTATAAGTATAACTCAACTATGGTCCGTACCGTCATATCCTGTAGCAGGTCAGATTCACTTTCGTCCGATTCATCCTGGTCAGGTGGCAGAGCGTCAGCCAATGATATGTCATTAGATAGGGCTGCAGGATACTCAGGGAGAGGTATCTGTGTACGCAACAGAGAGAAGGAGAGACAGATAGATGGACAGACAGGCAGCCAGCCAGACAGACAGATGCAAAGGCAGAGAGAGACACACATACAGGGAGAGGGAAAGAGAGAGACAGACAAACACAGAGAGAGAGAGAGAGAGAGAGAGAGAGAGAGAGAGAGAGAGAGAGAGAGAGAGAGAGAGAGAGAGAGAGAGAGAGAGAGAGATACGGAGAGAGAGAGAGAGAGAGAGAGAGAGAGAGAGAGAGAGAGAGAGAGAGAGAGAGAGAGAGAGAGAGACAGACAGACAGAGAGAGGGAAAAAGAGAGAGAGAGTGAGAAAGAGATACAAAGTTATATAGAGACCGAGAGAGGAGTCACACATCTAAATGCGTACACACATACGCATACACACCACACACACATACGCACGCACACAGACACAGACACACACACACACACACACACACACACACACAAACGCGCGCACGCAAACACAAACACAAACGTACACAAACTTTTACTCACTCACTTCCACAAACGGGAATTTCGTGACAAAAATCTGGCTGCGGCTTAGACTCCGGAAAATACGGCGTATTTTGGACATGGACGGTGATGATACTACGCCTGATGTAGTCAAACAGCATGTTGGCATGTCTAAAGCCTTGGTATCACTAACCTGTCCCTGTAAAGCAGCTTTGTTCCAGAAGACAATGCTATGGCCACCGTGAAGCATGCGCCAGAACTTCTTGAGACTGCGCGTGTTGCCCAGACTGCATGCCAACGTCACAAAGTAGTACTTTGCCATGCTGATAAAGTGACGGAACTGAAGTGTGGGCTGCAGACGACAGTAGGACGTTGTGCAACACAAGACATAATGTTGAAATGTTCGTATTTGTGACCAAAAGTACATGAACAAGAGTGTGCCACTCTGTAGCTGGTATGGTGCACAGCGGAAACATTTTTTGACGTCATCTTTTTCAGAGCCTATGATAACATGTTGCACAAAGCACGCGCAAGCCATGTACAGTACGGATCGGCTTTAGCGTTGGTGTTTGATTTTCGTGAAAATATCACTATAGGCGATATAATTATTACTATAGGCGATAATGCATACTTAGGTATGCCTGACAAATGCGTGTATGGTGTCATTCGAATCAGTGCAGCGTGCAGAAGTGTGCTGTGCATGTGACTGTGCAGTACGCGCGGTGCAGAGCTACATGTACTTCCTGTGGGGGAAAAAAACTTCGTGACTTTTTGACATGAGTTTTCAAGGAGTTGCTGTGCTCAACAAATGTGTTCTTTTGGAAGAGAAACACTTCAACACATTCAATCGGCATATGAACAATATCTACAGGATCGATTAGTGGGAGTAGAGTCTCAGTCTGGGTCGCCATCGCTCGACTCGTCACCGCTGAAACCGTTCCAAGTGGCAGGTCGATCGACGCGTGATGTCGTATGTCACAGAGAAGCATCTCCGCGTCACTGATCGTCTTCGCTGTTACCTGAATGCCTTCTCCGACATCTCGGCGGAGACCATGGTAGCGCTTCAGCGCTGGTACTCATTACTGCCTCCGATCTCGCTCGAGGATGCCCCGGAACAACAAGCACAGCCAATGCCAAACATTTCGAATTTCCTCCGAGGGATATCATAGTCGTACCAGCGCTTCCTGGCTGCCGCGATCAGATCTCGCCATGTACGATGTATAATTTTTTATGATCATCACTATAGCCGATGAAAAATGTATGCATAAGATCATTTTGACAAAGAAATCGTATCATTTTAGCCGATATAATACTATAGCCGATTATTACTATAGCCGATCTGATATGTATAGGATGGGGTGGTTTACGAAATGAATTTGAGAATACGATCACTATAAGAGGTATATTACTATAGCCGACAACCCTATAGCCGACAACCCTATAGCCGACAACCCTATAGCCGATCTGCACTGCACTAGGATACGACTTTCACCGCAAGTTTGGGTATTTGACTGTTTTAAAACTATTTTTACTCATTAATTTTGAAAAATAATGAATAATTTTTTTTCTTCCACTTCTGTAGATTTTACCCTACTCATAGCGGAAGTTCAGTGAAACCCTGCCGAGTTTGCACGGCCACAGACTTTCAGTGCATGCCTCGTACGGTATGACTCGTGATCTCCCGATAATGTGACGCCAACAAAAAAGTCTGGCTTCTTGCCAATCCAAGCGGAGTTGCACACTCTTGTTTATGTATTTCTATCGTGATGTACACACTTTCGGTCTTGGTCTGTTTGCCAGCAGCTGTAACATCAAACGTTGCACTTGACAACCCTATGGCAGAAAGAAAGAAAAAGTATATGAACGGAACGAACAGGGTACTAACCTTTTCCTCAACTTCATTGTCAGGTTCTGCAGTCGTTTCGTCGCTCGACGCAGTTTCCTCGAAGATCCACAGGAGATACTGCATAACACGCAAGAAGACGTCCGCGTCAGCCGGCATACCTCTACCATCAATAGCCAGCGCTGATTGGTCACTGTCGTTGGTCTCCTCAGCGTTGGCATGCTGTGACTGACGGCGGCGATGGTGGTCCAGCATGATTTTCGCAGCGCTCGTGATGAGCAGCTTGCGCGTGCAAGCGAACACGGGACTGTACTTGCTGCTGCTTCGCTTCAGATACCCGGTCCGGTACAGTGTCTTCAGGCTAGGTAGCGCTGATGTCTGTAACCAGCGACACAGAGTGTCCGGTAGCAGGTTCTCGTTATGTTTCTCCAAGGAGAGCAACGAGTTGATAAAGTCCACTGAGAGAGGGTCATGGCGCGATGGCTGAAATATCGGATCCCACTCTTCGTCGAAAGACGGTCGCTTGTACTGAGGCAAGCATAGCAGACAGGAACACCGCAAAAACCAACATGGCCGTTATCACGTGACATAAGCCATAGATGCAGTGGAGCAGTAATCGACATGGCTGTCCCGTATGGTTGTGTGATGATTGACGTGCTACCACTCTACATGACATTGCATATTTGCACAGTTTCGAAAACCGAAATCACAAACGGTGTGACGTTTCATGAGCAGGCCAATACAGAAAACGTACATGTACACTCAACTTTGCCAATAACGACTGCGGATATAACGACAATTCGCGAATAACGACAGAATTCCCATGCCCAGAGCAAAGTCCCATCTACGGGTAATACATAATTAGAATGAGACTTCAAGTATAAGGACACTTCGCGAATATGGACACTTTTCTGATGCCGCGCCGAGTGTAGTTATACACAAAGTTGACTGTACATGAAGGGAGTTAGTAGTGCAGGTACAAGGTGCAGGCCCTGTCCTATACCGTCTGGGTCAATGGGAGGGGGGGGGGGGAGAGGGAGTGGGGAGAGGAGGCTCCCCAAGATGCACCCAATTCATTTTTTTAACAGCATCTCAGGTACCTATTACCAGGCAAGGCACAACCTCAATTGGCGGTAATCAGCTTATTACACATTCTTCGACCGTGGCCCTGCTGCGATCAGCAATTTCACATTCCTCTCGTCACTGGCCACTAAGAGCACCATTATGTGTCGGTGCTCGGTAAAGCTATACAATTCGACACTACAAGTTTAACTCACAAATAGCTCCGGAAAGGGCTTCAGCGATATGCCAGCGTCCACTTCCTGCAGCTCTGCCCTGGACGAGTAGCGTAGAGCGGCGAGAGCCGGACACAGCTCCTGGACGTGCTCCACGGCTTTCCGTACCGGCACCGCGCCCGTCGTGGCCTCCTGTTCAAGCAGGCTGCAGACGAAGAACGTGAACATGCTGCAGCGCAGCGTGTAGAAGTACCACGTGGCTTCCCAGTCACCGGCAGCCGACATGATGTAAACGCCCGTCCTCAGCTTCGCCGTGGACCTTTGTATGTCCCGTAATAGACGTCCACTGAAGCAGCAGTCCAGGAACAGTAGAGCCGTTCTAGTGGGAGAAAATTGCAAAAAAAGGAAGTATGATTAGAAATCAAGAAACTCGTTAACAGAAGATGAATGAATTCACATGTACAATGTACCACAGTCCCCTGCACGCAATGCTAGATGATATCAAGAGGTAGTGAGGAAACAAACAAGATTCTAAATACGCACGTAACTATTTGGATGCAGGCGTGTCCGGGAGTTGCAAATTGCCAAACGCCACTTCCTGTCTCATGATTGAAACTCAGTATCGGCACATGCCGACGATACTCCAATATCTCACAGAACACCATAAGTAGTGAATTTACTCCCTCGCACCCAGACGCTGATTGTTGAAAACAAGTTTCTATACTTTTGATGGGAGAATCCGACATCGCAGTGGTTTTCGGCGTGGCCTGGTCAAATTGCAGTATATTGCATCGAGTGTATTGCTTTATCCGAGAGAGGAGATGTTCGTACCCTTGAGACCCGAAGTCCCGTTTACATACGACACAATTTAGGAGCTCTTCGCTCTGCGCTTTTTCAGGGTATGGATTTCGGGTTGTTCTGGTCGGGTGGAAGTGTCGCGAACTATTCCATCGTCCTCAGCGTCGAAAAGCTACTGGCCATGTAGAATAACAAGGTGGTGAGAAGGTTTCGCCTTCCTCTATGAGCGAATTTATTCTGCGCCAGCATTCCAAACTATGCACTATCATACGCGCAGTTCGAGTAACGAGCCGTGTGCCCTGTACACTGCACTGCATGCACTGAGTGCAGTCAGTTGTCTTGAAATTTTCTCGATTCTCCTGCCACTCCCATTCATTTCTGCTTCTAGGGAAAGTCTAACTTGGCGCACTTCAAGTCACTATAACTCCAGAATGGCTGGGCCGATTCGAATAATACTCGCAGATTGCCTATATTACGATGTGAAATTCGAATGAGACCAATATCGAAGCGATCGGAGCAAGTTTTGAAAATATGGGTGTAATCACTACTACAATATTACACTCAAATACGAACCCATCCACGTACACATACGCATACACACATACAAGAACATGCACAAACACGTGCACGCAGGAACGTACACACACGCACACACACGCACACACACACACACACACACACACACATGAACACGCTCAGAGGTGCATGCACACACACACACACACGCACGCAAACGGACACCCACCCACCGCCACACATCCACATTATGTCCCAGAGGCTAGTACACAGATTTCAGCGTTGATGAATGCAGCAACGAGGCCTGAACTTTTCTTCTTCTTTTTTTACTGGGAACACAGCCCTACAAAAGACATGTGGAGACAAACGCAAAACAAGACACAGGAGATGTAGGGACGACGTGCCGATGTACGGGGAGCAACTCGACCGACCAGATGTCTCGGCGGTACTCTTACTTTACCTCGCCTTGCAGCCGGACAAGCACTCATCAAATAGAGAAGCTCCGATGAGGTTCTCTGGCTCATCACCTCCACTGCTGTCCTCATCAAGACTGGCCGCCGGTACCATGTAACCGTGCCTAGTGCCCTCAACACGCTTCCCATGGCCAGCAAAGGAAAACAGAAGCAACCCGTCACTGCCTACCTGTGCACAGACAAACACAGAGGAAGGAAACATCAGTATGTCCACGTGCAGTACTGTCCAGCGCCGAAGAACAGGCGGGGGGAGGTCAGGGTTCTAGCCTAGCCCGTTCTTATTTTTAGCAAACACAACACTTTTATTCTCATTCAGTGGTGCACTTTTTCATGTACATTTATGCACAGTTGTAGATATGAGTTAACAATATGCTAGTGTACAAACAAAAAGCACATTACGGCTTCCGTTCTTATCTGCAAAAAATCCAGCCTAGACCGTTTTTAAAAAATTGGTGAATTTCTTCGCCGGTCCGTTCTTCGGGGCCCAACAGTACTATATGTGTGATTCACACGAGATCTGGAGCAAAAGTACATCATCGATGTACGGGTAATGTGTGGGTGTCTGTGACATTGAGCACTGTGTGCAGCTCGGGGATCAACGGATTTCGGTTTCACCAATGTACTGCATCACACCAGAAAAAAATTAGCTCTCCACAATTGAAATGCGCCTCTTCTGCAGTGAACGGGCTGGATCGGAGGGTGCACTAAGCGACGGTACACACTCTAAGGAGACAGAAGACAGAAGTCAACTCACCGTTTCCGCCGAGGCCTTCAGATTTGTGGCCAGATTTTCGGAGGTAGCTCTGTGCTGCGCCTTCGTACTCAGCGTGACAACATTGCCCGGCGGAATGCCAAGCCGCTGCTGGAAGATGGCGCGGAACTTCACGGCGGCTTCCGCAAGCCGGTCTTCGGTTGCTGAGGACCAGAGCAAGAGAGGACAATATGGGTGGCTGGTTGCAATCACAGTTTGTGTATAGTAAAAGCTGGTGGATATAGACAGTCTAACTAACAAACCCTACACTTTCTCAATAAGCATGAAAGAATATGAAAGCGGAAACCGATTTGTCCGCAGCAATCCTCTGGAAACGGGTTACGGAGTAGACAATATTGAGCTTATGATTTCAGGTTTGTGTCATCCAATTCAACCTGGGTTTCCGGAACATAAGGTGTAGAGTACAAGGTCCAGAAATCCTCTTTCTACTTATGACATGTTATTAGGAGCCGTTTCGGAGAAAGAAGTCTCAGCAAATCAATGAATAAAACAATAATATTGAAGCCGACAATAATACCATGACGGACTAATAAAATAGAAATATAATGTGAAGTCGAATTCAGAAACGATTTTCTTCGATGGTCATCGGTGAACCTACAGCGGATAATGTGCATGGTAAAACAAATCAGAACATACATGTGTGCTCCATACATGTACTAAGAAGTTGCGACTTCGGCGGTAATAGTCATGAAGTTGATTGTTCCAACTAGTAACACGGTGAGTCAGTCAAGTGTCAAGTTCGGCAAGAAGCGTGTGTTCCTACCGAGTTGGAACAATCAACTTCACTCCAATTATATGTGTTCATTAATTAAAGGCTGCAAGGTGACTACAGTAACAACAAGTGTGCAAGGGTGATTGTATTGTCACCATGGTGTGAGCAGCGTGGAGCAGCAGCAGCTTGTTGTTGCTGCAGTCACTTTGTAACATTCAATAACCAGCGAAGAAAATCGTTTCTGAATTCGACTTCACATATATTTTTTTATTTTATCAGTCCACATATAGTTTTATTCCCGTAGGCATGCAGAAGACGCTACTTCAGTAACGTCTGGCGCTAGCCAGGGTCCACGCAGCTTTAATTTGGTGTTTGTGTCACGCCTGGCGCTATCCCGTATCTGTCCCGTACCGTACCGTACCGTCAAACACAGCTGGCCACATACAGCTGGCCGCACTATTCTAATAGGGCTTTCAAAGGCAAGATCCTAACGTGAAGCAACTTCGAAGAATGAGTATGAATGCGAAGTGTATGGGGGAATGCATGTAGGGCGATAGTGCGGGTTCGAATCCCAGGTAATGCCTGAAAAAATAGGAAAATTGAAAAATTTATAACATCCCTTTTCTTTTTTTGCCGTCATCAAGGCGGTAGATGATGTCGTATTACCCTCGACCGTACCTGTCCCGTACCGTACAATCAAAGACGGCTGGCCACAATGCATATTCAAATAGGGCTTTCAAATACAAGATCATAACGTGAAGCAACTTGGAAGAATTAGTATGTATACGAAGTGTATCGGGGGATGCATGCAGGGCGATAGCGGGTTCGAATCCCAGGTTATGTCTAAAAACAAAAAGTAGAAATTTATAAGAATTTATAAGGGTCCGTCCAAGGTTACCAATAATATTTTCAAAACGAAATGTTTTCGTTTGTGGGTGGGTGGGTTTGATGGAGTTTCGTTTTGAAAATAATTATTGAATGCTGATGGAGAATGCCCAGTTACTTTTGGGTGTCGAAAATTGACATCAATTTTTATCGGAATTCGTTTTACCTGCAGAAAAGGTGGGTGGGTGGGTGGGGGCTGAAAAATACTAAAACTTTTCGTTTTGTAAAAACAATCGGTAACCCCGGACGGCCCCTAACATCCCTATGCTTTTTTTGTCTAGGTCATCAAGGCAAAAAAGCATAGCGTAGGGCCCTGAGCTTCCAAGCTTTCTCGTTTTATTAGTCCACAAAGGCACACAATGAAAACCTGAATCCTGAATCAGGCATTGAGCACTCTTCCAGAACCAAAGAATATTGCCTCTGTATTTTATTAGTCCATCAGGGTATTATGTCGGCTTCAATAGGGCTTGAAAGTGCTACGTCACAGCATAGCAACAATTTCAAAAATTCAAAAATTGGATCCACTTGGATCCAGTTTTTGTATGGATCCAAGCACATTTCAAGCCGTCTTACTCTCAGCAAGGTGATGTAACCAGTGAAACTGACTGATTTGGCTACTGGGGGCGGGGTTACAGCTGGTGGCGAAATAAAAGTCACACCTGCATGCGACATGAGTGGGTTGCTATGCACCCACATACTTAGGCAATAGCAAAGTCACACCTTAGTGGATCCAAAAATAGAAATCTGATGTCAACTTACTACTCCCTGGCCGTTTTGACGTCTTTCACTTTCAAGCCCTATTGTCTTATTCATTGCTTTCCTATTTATTACATCGTCATTTTTTTCTGATTTGCTTTCTCTTTTAGAAGTACTCAGTACTGTTGAGTTAACGTAACAAAGAAAAATTTAACTGAACAGTATTGACGGGAGCGTACCTGCACATACAGCTCTGCTTGTACTGGGATTGAAGCAGATCTCTTTTTCGCCGAGCAGGAACTTAGAAACGCGTCCTCCATCAACGATATCGACCATGTCATCTGAAAAAACGGAATAAAGGGCAAAGGTACTTGAAGTACAAAGGAACTGAAGTCATGTAAATTGACATACTGTATAAGCAGATATATTCGTCTGGAATTAAATTTCGTCTTTTTCGTCCAATGAGCTTTTGGACTAAATTAAATGCCGGACTAATGTCGATTCGCGCAGCTTTTCTATACACTCTTATCATCAATGGACGAAATGTGCAACCGCACGAACTCCCTTTCTTTGGAGTTGGGCGAAATTATTGACCGACGAAATTGTCTGCCTCTACAGTACATCAGAAATTCAGCAGAGCTACGTTCACTTCTCGGCTCACTATCCGTAGCGCAGGATCAAATTGCTCGGTAGCTCCTGGGGTCGGAATTTGAACTGTACATCGGAACAAATCCTCCCTACCAGTGCCAAGGTTGTCAACGATGTCTGTCAGGCGACAGCCCGATATCTCACGCACACGGACCGACATTCTAAGAAATTTGGAAAGACGTTCTAATTTCCTATTGTGCTGTGTGTATAGGTACATGTACAGTGTACAGTGTGCGTACAGTATGGTCCGGCGCCGAAGAACTGGGGGGGGGTCAGGGTTCTAGCGTAGCCCGTTCTTATTTTTAGTGAACACAGCAGTTTCGTTCCTATTCGATGGCACAGTCTTACATGTCCATTTATGCAGAGTTATACGTCTGAGTGTACATGATAGCGTATATTACGGTTTCCGTTCTTATCTGCAAATAATCCAGCCAACACCATTCTAAAAAAATTGGTGAAATTCTAGCCTGGCCGTTCTTCGGCGCCGGACGGTAAAGCAGTGAGTTATTGCCTTACTGGATTGAAATTGTCTTTCCAGTAATCAGTCTGATGAGCCCTCAAACTGTTCAAAATATAATGTACATGAGGTGTAGTTTTCTTGCTTATGGCGTCTGTACTCAGCACTGGTCACTGGTGCTGTGCACACTATCCAAGTTAACTCGTAGAAGCACCTCGAATACTTTTAGTCGCACCTTCCACTTTACTGTGGGTATACCGTATCGGAGAGGCGCTGTGTCCGGCAAATACTCAAGATGAAACTCGAAACAAGACCATTGCCCAGGACCAAGGGCTATGCATCCGGGTTTTGGATTTATCGGTGCATGCAATCTTCCTCCCTTTTTTACATCTATGACATTCAGCCATCCCAGCTCACTCATTACCCCCCCCCCCCCCCCAGTGCCTTCCCGGACGTAATAATCCATGCTTGATTGGTGTGCAGTATAGCAACTCCAGTAAAGACGTGTCAAGGCGACATGTACAGAATGACCTTTCTTACTAGGACCAAAAGGGATGTTATCACTCGTCCGATGGCTCTGGATATGGGCACCACCTGTACACGGGACCACATTTTCAAAGTCCCTTGAGCAGACAGGTTTCAGTCTACATGGAATTTGAACTTTTTTAAAGAATCTGTCTCAGGAAAGCGGCGGATTTTTTTCTGGGGAAGGGTATTTCCAAGAAAACGCTGTGAGATTGCTCCCCCTCTCTCTCCAATCGTACTCCACAGCACGCTAGCACATTTAGCGGACACTTTACCCTGTAGTCACTATGGAACTGTCAAAACTACAGTACTATGCCGTGGTGAAAATAATTAGTTTTATAACGTGTAGACATAGGTGTTGTGAAGGATCATCCCACGACATTGTACAGTTTGCCACGCTGGCACATGTGTACAGCGTCAGCTGCCGATTCGGGCAGTGACTCGACTAACAGCTGTGCGGCTTGAAGTAAACGATCGAAACCATCCCCGTGGGTGGCTCTGCAAAATCTTGTTACGGTCATGTCATCAAAGAGTGTCAGACTTCTCCGTTCCAGCGACATACTCTATACCGGTACTACCACTACGAGTACTAGGGCTAGGTCTTACTTTCATCGTTGCCTTCTACTGCTGCCATTCTCGTGACGGTCGTGTACGGTACCTGATACGCTTACAACTGTACGCGCAGCCAGCGTCGAGACCAACGAGATGTAGCTCGGGACCAGAGCAATGCTGTCTCTCTCTCTCTCTCTCTCCAGCCTCACTTCTACTGCAATGCACTCGCCGCCTAGCCTACCTGAACTCCAGACTCAAAAACCCAAGGCTAGCAAAACAAAACAAAAAAAATTATGATGCTAGCATGCTAGTACTAGTAGTGCTACGCGATACGCATGCATGTAGTGCGTGCTTCAGGCACAAACTAACTACTGCAGTAGTGAGTACTCGTACTTGTACTGTAGTTACTTACTTGCAGTTGTAGTCCAGTATACGTAGCTAGATAGACGTAGACCCACACTACAACTACAAGAGGGTGGTACATGCATGTATGTAGATCTACCCGGTACATAGATCTACATACCAGTGCAGTATACATGGTATAGGACTGGTCAGTGAGTGAGTGAGTGGTCTTTTTCAGATTACGAGTACGACGCTGTTATCATGACATGACCGTAGTCCGTGGTCTGCATGCGCTTTGAGCTACCGTATTTTTCGGAGTATTGCGCACCTTTGTATAACGCGCACCCCCCATCTTCATTGGGGGTGCAAGTTCAATCTTCATTGAAGTACAGTCAACTTCGCTTATAACGACACTCGGCGGGGCATCAAAAAAGTGTCCTTATTCGAAAAGTGTCCTTATTCGAAAAGTGTCGTTATACCCGAAGTCTCATTATAATTATGTATTGTTGAGTTCGAAACAGGACGACTGACGACATATCCAGACACAGGCCAACGGAACAAAAGGAGACAAAAGGTGAGTACGTAAGTGCATGCAGGCCAGCTAAAAAAGGTACGGGAGGAGGTACCTAACATACCACCCCTCCATGAAAAAAAAATCCCGCGTCCTCGCGGAGAGAAAAAAAAGACGACATATCCAGACATTACAACGGGAACAGGTTAGTGGGAACGACATTTATTATACTAGTAGACGACGAGACAAGAGACCAAGACGAACGAAACGACTACATTGAAGAGTGAGAAAAGAGAGAGAGAGATCAAGTCTGAACAGCAAGATAAAGGGCCTGGGTAGCTATGGCAAATATGGGCGCGCAAGTAGCTACCCAGGCCAACGGAACAAAAGGAGACAAAAGGTGAGTACGTAAGTGCATGCAGGCCAGCTAAAAAAGGTACGGGAGGAGGTACCTAACAGTATTACAGTGGGATGGGACTTTGCTCTGGGCATGGAAATTATGTCGTTATTCGCGAATTGTCGTTATATCCGCAGTCGTTATTAGCGAAGTTGACTGTACATGCATTTCATATTCGGAGCATAGTGCGCACCTGCAATTTAGGGCCTAAAATAGCACATCTAAAGTGCGCACTATATACTCCGGAAAATACGGTACTTGAAGTACTAATCTTGTTGAAGTATGGATGGTCCTATGGAATACATCAAGCAAGAGTGGATCTACGAAGTACGAGTGTAAGATACGCCTACAAATTACAATGGACTCTACAAGTACAATTTCACGGAATCTTTCGCTATTTCACTCCACCAGCAGGCTTGTTACGTACTAAATTTCGTTTTTGGTCGAGGTCCGTCACCCCGAACTTTCATAATTTTTTTTAGTATGGTACAAACTTTAGTTATTTCGTGACCCCTAACGAATACTAGTGCATGTATAGCGAACGTTAGTTCCAAACGAAAATTTGTACTTGTAGAGTACATGAAACAAGAGTACATGTATAAGTACGAGTGTAAGATTGCCTACTTCAAGTACAATGTAATCATAATGACGGATTATGTACCTATCGCCGCGTTGGAACATCACCAACCTGTATTCCTTTATCTCGAGGATGCATTACTCGACAGGCATCCGGATTCCGGAGGCTCGGCTACCACCTGCTGAGGCCATGCTGTCTGGAGACGCACCCAGTGTTGACGGTATGCCCCCACATGAGCGCGACCCAAAACAGCGCCGTTGACTTCAGCGCCCCCCCCCCCCAAAAGCCCCATCCCCATAACTGGACATCCCCAAAACAGACCACCCCGTCAGCGCGCACGCTCAATACAGGTCGACTCATTTACACTCAAACCCAAAAGATGGACACTCGACTTGTCAAAGACTCAAATCATGATCAACTCGAAATGGCCAGTTCAGTATTGAAGGGCGATATTGCCTGGACTCAATTTATAATCAACTCTAGAAAGCAATGATGAACTAAAAAATGCAATTATCGACTCAAAAACACCAGTTCAGTATTAAATGGCGATATTGCCTGGATGGACGTTAACAGGTCCAGATACAAATAGGTTGTAGTCCACGAACCACGAACCTTCCAAGTTGGAAGGTTGGTTTGCGCACTGGAGATGTGTTAGAGCTAGGTCTCGGGCCGCTGAATGTCTCAGTGGCCTGTCAGTTTCGTGCCCTATTATCGCACAGTCACTTTCTGACTGTTTATCATCTTGTTACAGTCGTGGATAGTTGCTGCACAAGTTCTAGGCCCCAGCGGCAAATGCTAGCACCCAAAGTAGCATAAAAGGGCCTTTTTGTGACTCCACACGATGCTAGCATAAACAGCAGTTTTTACCGGCATCCGATACATTTTTGCCAATTTTGGCATTCTGGATGTGGAATTCGGTCTAGATTACACTATGAAACTAGTATTACGGTACTACCACATTGATAATTGCATGCACTACATTCAATTTGTTTGCATTACCTAGTTGTGACCAAAACCCACATTGCCATTGGTACTTCTTGGTATTTGCTCTTTTGTATTGCAAATATTTCCATAGCAACATGATGCCAACATCGCACCTTTAAAAACTCTTTTCACATACCTGCTTTGTGAGAATTCATAAATAGCACGGAACACCGTTTTCAACCCAAATGTTTCACCATTACCATTAATAGGTAGCATAATTCGTGTTGTCTAGCATCCAAATTAGCATCTTTCTGAGTTGTCAGCTAGCATCCCAAAAAGCATCTTGGCAACATTTAGCTAGCATCTGCCGCTGGGGCCTATGCAGCACAACTCGTTCTCATGTGTTTCTTCTCTTTTTGCATATCTTTTTTAAGAACGGGTTTCCTCCTGATATCCACCATGGTAATACTAACATCAAGAGTACATAAAACTGGTTATGCACGCTTGCTAACATGAGCCTGCACATTATGGGTCACGTGTGTAATGAGCTGGCTTATATTCGGACGTTAACGTAATTGGTCGCGCCAAAATGGGGCGTGCAAGAGATGAGACGAGCTGTAGTGACACCGTGTCACATTAGGTCGCGCTGTACTGGGGGTGCTAATATGAACACGCGCCGTTTATGGTTGCGCTGTTTTGGGTGTAAATCGTGTTGACGACACGCCGTATTACGATAATGACGTCCTCACCCCTGAGCTTCGTAAATCCAAGGCGATGCACTCGGAGTGGTCTGCAGGTCCGTCTGGGATGGACTCGTCTTGTTGGCGGCGGATGTGCTCCTCTTTTAACCTTTATCCTCCCATTGTTCCCATATCAACCAGTCTGTGCCAGGCTATTGCATACCTCTCTCGCCTACCCGTGTTCTTCCGGCTGAAGGCCTGGTGCAATTTCTGCCATGCCGGTTGATTGCCCTTGATAAGCAGTCTGGCGTGGATCTACGCCCTATCGGCGTGAGTGAGGTGCTCAGGCGCATACTCCGATAGTATCCAGAGCTGCGCATCGCTTCGAAAGACGTGGATGCAGGCTGCGGTTACTAGTACAAGTATCTTCAAAAATGCGCTGGATCACTAGGTGGCATTGAAGCAGCAGTGCGTGCCATGCAAGACATATATACAACGAATCGTCCACTGAGTGAGTGCTGTTGGTGGATGCCAGTAACGCTTCATTAGCATAAACCGACAAGCAGCTCTGCATCACGTCCAGCGCCTCTGTCCAGCATTATCCATCATTCTTCCGAATGCCTATCTGTCAGAGGCACGTCTGTTCGTCTCTGGCGGTGGGGAGATTTCGTCAAAAGAGCGTACAACCCAGGGAGACCCACTGTCCATGGTATTTTATACATTGGCCACACTCCCCATCATTCGGCATTTACAACAGCAACATGACAACGTTATGCTTATTTTTGTGCAATTATTCTCTTTCTTTTCATTCATTTCTAACCCGTTGCTCATTGGTGGACCAACATCTGAGTCTCTTCATTATCAGATCGACCCTACATGTGTGATTCTGTGAAATGCACATGTTGCTGGCTGACAGCATTGAAACAAGGTGGAGGACCAACGTGTTCGTAAACGGTGACCAAACTACAACCAATCCACGGCGTTGGTACATACAATGTACAATGTACTTGCCAACCACACAGTACATTGTACGTGTATGTACCAACGCCGTGGATTGGTTGTAGTAAGGTCACCGTTTACGAACACGTTGGTCCTCCACCTTGTTTCAATGCTGTCAGCCAGCAACATGTGCAGTCATTTTATTATGATTGTAATTATCCAAATGTAGGTGCGGCGATCAATCTGAACTAAAACTGGTAAAAGTCTAATAAATGGGCAATGCTGCGTAGTTGTAGTCTGAACACAGAGCTATAGAACACTGGAAGACTTTAGGCTGCGTTCGTTTTTACCTACCTGCATCATGGTACGAGTAGGGTAGAGTCGCTCTACCGATAGAGGTACATGTACATGTGTGTGGATGGTAGAGGACTAGAGGTACATGTGTGTGGATGATAGAGGTACATACATGTGTGTGGATGGTAGAGGTACATGTGTGTGGATGATAGAGGTACATGTGTGTGGATGGTAGAGGTACATACATGTGTGTGGATGGTAGAGGTACAGGTACATGTGTGTGGATGGTAGAGGTACATGTGTGTGGATGGTAGAGGTACATACATGTGTGTGGATGATAGAGGTACATGTGTGTGGATGGTAGAGGTACATACATGTGTGTGGATGGTAGAGGTACAGGTACATGTGTGTGGATGGTAGAGGTACATGTGTGTGGATGGTAGAGGTACATACATGGGTGTGGATGGTAGAGGTACATGTGTGTGGATGGTAGAGGTACATACATGTGTGTGGATGGTAGAGGTACATGTGTGTGGAGGGTAGAGGTACATACATGTGTGTGGATGGTAGAGGTACATGTGTGTGGATGGTAGAGGTACATACATGTGTGTGGATGGTAGAGGTACATGTGTGTGGATGGTAGAGGTACATACATGTGTGTGGATGGTAGAGGTACAGGTACATGTGTGTGGATGGTAGAGGTACATGTGTGTGGATGGTAGAGGTACATACATGTGTGTGGATGGTAGAGGTACATGTGTGTGGATGGTAGAGGTACATACATGTGTGTGGATGGTAGAGGTACATGTGTGTGGATGGTAGAGGTACATACATGTGTGTGGATGGTAGAGGTACAGGTACATGTGTGTGGATGGTAGAGGTACATGTGTGTGGATGGTAGAGGTACATACATGTGTGTGGATGGTAGAAGTACATGTGTGTGGATGGTAGAGGTACATACATGTGTGTGGATGGTAGAGGTACATGTGTGTGGATGGTAGAGGTACATACATGTACATGTGTGTGGATGGTAGAGGTACATGTGTGTGGATGGTAGAGGTACATACATGTGTGTGAATGGTAGAGGTACATGTGTGTGGATGGTAGAGGTACATACATGTGTGTGGATGGTAGAGGTACATGTGTGTGGATGGTAGAGGTACATACATGTGTGTGGATGGTAGAGGACTAGAGGTACATGTACATGTGTGTGGATGGTAGAGGTAAGTGCACGAACGCTGTTCTACCGGATTAAATAGTTTTATGTACATGTACGTGAAATGTTTTTTTCATCTGTATGGCGTTGTGTGTGCAACTCCTTGATTTTGTTGGAAATTCCGTTGCTCTACCAAATTCTACCGCCTTCTACCAACTTTTTCCTGGTAGAACCGGTGGAGGAAAGTAGAATCTACCCTTTTTGAGTAGAAAAACACCTCTACCGGAAGAAGTAGTTTCTACCAAAACCTGTAGATCAAAAACGAACGCCACCTTAGTGCTTCTTAATCCATGATGCCGGGCGGAACAGGAATAAATAGGGAGGTTCAATTCCCACGTAGCGAAAACGCGTACTTGGGTGATCCACGTAAAGTGGATGAAGGGCACCCACGTTGCAATGTTGTGTTTAGTCACACGAAACAGACAAAAGCATGAAGCGAAAGGCCCAAACCTGGTCAAAGACGAAGCTACCCGAGCCTTAGAAACTCATCCAATATTTTGATTTCGTGATTCGGAAACTTCTTCAGCTGAGCACCCTCATAGCTCGCACAATGCGCTCCATTTTCATTTTCACCCACGTTCTGGCGGACCGTGGGTGAGCCTCCATACACGGTATGTCGTGAATCAGAAAACGTCTGTACGTGGGTCAGTGAGTATCACGTGGTACACACACGTAAAGTACCCACGGATTACGTGGGACTAAACCTCCCTAATTAATATTTCCTCTCACACTTTCGGCCACTTAGTCTTTGGTCAGTGAGATGGGAGCCCAGGCAGAACGGCAAAATGAATATTTGCCATACAGTGCCACACCTCCACAAAGAAGTGCAGTAACCACGGGAACCGAGTTGCGTAGGTACAGCACTCACAAGTACATGTACATGTACATGCACGTACATGTATATGTACACGAGACCCAGGATGGAAGAGACTGGCGGTCGATTTCGACGGTATTATGGCGTATCGAAGGAATTACATGTTCCAGCGAATCCTGCAGCATTCTTAGCTCTCGTACAGCGTACAGACAACTGGACTGTAATACTTGAGGTAGAGAGACTGAGCGAGAAAAATACTTACAAAATAGGTTATTAAATGCGGCCGAAAGGCGAAGCAAAGGGGAAGAAAGGGAAGAATACGAAAAGCTAAGATGCAGTATTGTGGGGTCAAAGAAAAAATGCTAAAAAATCGTATAGCCCGATTCTACATACATGTATCGGAATACCAATGAACAATACATGTATTGATTTTACTCTTTCTCCAACGTAGTAAGAAACTTGCAGTTGAAAAATGCGCGTAGAGCTAGATAAGAAATTTTCGCTATACGGCGCAGAGAAATCAGCTTTGCTATCATCGACCATGTGTAGTTGACTACATCAATGCATAATTCCAAAAAAGGAGACAGCTAAGGCGAGGCCATCTTCGCTCTCTAATAAGAAAACAGAGGGCGATACAAAGAAAAATCCATATTTAAAATGACTGACCACTGACGCAAAACCTGTGCCCCAATGTATTGAATGATAAGAGAATGTGCATTTGCTTTGCCCGCTACATTAGTAATACATGTGCACGTTGTGCTCCAAAGTAAAATAAAAGTGATGCTAATGTTACATGTGTGTCTAGAATGTTTGATGCGTGTACGGAAAACCAATACTATGAGATGGCGCGATGTAGAAAAGCAATGAAGAGAAAGAGCATGGATAATAATAACTTGACTGGAATGAAAACTCCTGCAGCACAAAAAATAGCCCGTGCAATCTCAGCATAATCGCTCACGGTGATGACAAGTGTTCGCTAGTTCAATTGTGAACTTGTTGCCTAGCAACCTCATCCGGACAAACGGCGCCACATCCAGCGATGTTCATCTTCAGGACACGGAAAGACAAAGACAGTTCACACTTCAGAGGTACAGTATCGCCAAGTGCAATCCGACTAATGGTGCATATTTGGCACCGTCAACTACAGGGCTGGCAACTGAAATCCGAACCCCTAGCGGTGCGTTCACATTCTAGCGGTCTCTGTTTCGTAGCTTTACCGTCCTGGGTCTTTGCGATGTGAGCGCACCGCTCAGTGGTCGGATTTCAGTTGCCAGCCCTGTACTTGAACACGTCCTGGATGTGGTACGAATCATTATTGAGACTGAAAGCACGCATGTACAAACTTAGTAAGCTACTCAGAAGTGCCCCGGGGCATCTGTTTTTCACTCACTGTCGGATTTCAACGAGCACAACTGTAAAATCAGCATTTTGCGAATAAGCCTGTCTCGTTTAAAAGCCCATTTTGAATAGAAGCCTGACTTTCCAGATACGCTGCCGGCCCATAAACCTAGTTTTAGTGTTGCACACATAGAAATACCTGTCTTGTGTAGAAGCCTGTCTCACGTAGAAGCCTGTACAATTTCTACTAAAAAGTCATATAAGCCGCCGCTTTTATACACGACGGCAGCATGCTTTGCAAGTGCTAACATCTGAGTTAAACCGAGAGGATAACATTGTGCACATAAGGGTGGGCTGGCGAAGACCATTCCTGCTGTAAAGTCACCACAACAGAGAAAGTAAAACCTCTTTGCCAGGCATTTCCCAAATTGGGACGATTTTTTCGCCTAATCGGCTTTTCGGTCGGCTGAGAGAATGTGCAAATTGAGCTTCTTATCGTCGACACTGCGTTCTGTTTCAGTATTTTGTTCACTTCTGTTTGTTTTCACTGACTAGGATCTCATTATCATGATAGGCCTGAATTCACCCATTCTCACGCAAAATCCCAAACTTTTCCCGCGGTGACATCACCAGCCCCAGGACTACGTTATGACAGTACCACTCCCAAAACTCGCTCCTCCGTCCCTGAGTCACCCCCCCCCCCCCAGTCACCCCAAACTCGCTCCTCCGTCCCTGAGTCACCCCCACCCCCAGTCACCCCAAACTCGCTCCTCTGTCCCTGAGTCCCCCCCCCCCCAGTCACCCCAGACTCACTCCTCCGTCCCTGAGTCACCCCCCCCCCCCAGTCACCCCAAACTCGCTCCTCCGTCCTTGAGTTTAAGGAGATGGAGTAGGGCACTAAGAAGGTAGAAGGTCCAAATAATCCGGAGGTGAGTGCACATCAGTCTCGGTACCATGGGTTCATCTAGTAATCCTAGCACTAGTACAAGTACAGGAAAACCTGTCTAAGACGATCGCTCAAGGGACCTTCAAAGTGTGCTCTCTGTTACCAGGTGGGTCTCCTTATCCAGTGCCATTTGACTGGAAATAGCATCCCTTTGTCCTGGCTGCAGTGGCCTTCTGGGAGAGGTGGTCGCCTTATCCGAGTGGTCGCCTTGACAGGTTTGACAGCACTAAGACTGCATGGTGTCCCTATGCATAAAGAGTAAACCCTGTCTAAGACAACCGCTCAAGGGACCTTGAAAACACGGTCTCTGTTACCAGGTGGTCTCCTTATCCAGGGTCATTTGACTGGAAAAAGCTTCATTGGGTTCTGGTTGCAGTGGTCTTCTGGGACAGGTGGTCACCTTATCCGAGTGGTCGCCTTGCCAGGTTTGACTGCAATTATTGTAATCTAGCTTTGTGCACAACTCCCTGATGTACTCCCATGAACAGTTGTACCACCTTGAAGTACGGTCGTGGACATGGAAATCCGGTCGAATGACCGGAGCCAGTGCCCTCAGGGCGTACAGAACATTGCAGGCACAGACTCATTAGTGCGCGGTGTTGATCGTTTGCTTACTCACGGCTGCATGGCCAGCGCCCTGGGGCCGCCTGACCTCCGACTGGATTTCCATGTCCACGACAGTACATGTAGTCTTTTGCACATGAAAAAATAGAAATGATCTATCAACCAGCTCTGATTCACACACTCTTCTTAATAATTATAGTACTTTTCTTCATAATAATACTACTTTTCTTCATAATAATAGTACTCTTCTTCATGATCATAGCACTCTACTGTACAACTCACTGAGAAAATAATCCGTAGAGTCCTTTCTGCATTATTATGAATGGACCACAAAATACAGGTTCAATCTTGCTTATGAAGGCATCACCTATTTGTCGAACGTCTTTGAACTGGATAGGATCGGCCTGTTAATTAAATACACACACATAGAAACGTACGCATCAGGAAAACCCGAACTTGGTCAAACAGCCAGACTTTAAATTAGGGCTGAAACGACCATTCATTTAGCCCAATCGATTACTCTTTATCATAACGATCGATCAATCGAATATAATCTTTAAGAGGCCGCACCTGGAATATGTACTTGGTCCGTTTCATCGCAATTGTCGCTTATCTATCGCAACTAAGAACAAGAGTTATTTTATCGCTCTGTAAAATTTCAAATACGCATAGTGAAGAAGCATGATACAGGATGCCTGTCCGCCACAATAAAAATAATTCAGCGATGGAATCTGATGAAGCAAGTCCAGAAAGAAAGCAAGGTTACAAAAAATGTACAAAAGAAAACGGCGACGGAGCGCGTTCTTGCACTCACGCTTTAGTTTATCCGACTCTGGCTCTGTATCACTCGAGCTGATGTCACTTGAGCTGACATTCGCTGGTGTGTATAGCTGCTGGCGCCATGGCGTAGAGTATATCTTGCTTTCTCCGCTTCGCGTATGGCAGCGATGGGAAAGGAACAATCGTGGCTGTCACTCTGGCACTTGGAGGAACGTGGGCAGCGTGACCCGTGTGTCACCACTGTCTGTTTCAACAATGTTTTTGAATCAGGCACACATCCCTCACCAGACAGCTGTCATACGCTCTGCTGGATACGCTGACCACGACTCTTGTACTGCAGCTGCCAGGTCGGACAATGTCTTCTTTGCCACCAATTCGCCATCAGTTTGCAGGCTTGCAAAGAGTGCCAGGTCGTCGCACTTGCAGTTCAAACGTGGCGACTGAGCTTGACTGTCACGCTCTCAAGGTCGGGATGTCGATTTCCCCTGCTACAGTTCCGGTCTTTGAGCTGCGTTTGGCTTTTCGCTGCAGTGAATGTGTGCATTCACTGCAGCGAAAAGTTCCCCACTTTCCCAACACAATCGTACGAATCGCGATGCCACTGGCGCTAGTCGCGATGGTTTTTTCTTTCTGGTCTCCTTTGATCTTGCCTTCACAACCTCCCAAACAAATGGGAGTTAGATATCGAGATCGGGCTGGGATTTACCTGTCAAAAGGTGCGTGGGAGATAAGCGACAATTGCGATGAAACGGACCAAGTACGTGGAATGGCCAAAAGTGGATATATGTACAAAATGTTGGCACTGTGCGTACATGTCCTACTTATACATCCTGAGCGGCTGCGACGCAGCGCGTGCAGTGTGTAGTACTGTGTACAACATGTGTGTATTCTACTCTGCGCTGCATGCACTGCTCGCATCAGAAATTTAAAAATTTCAAAAACGCAAAACAATCGTAATCGGTAATCTAAACGATTGCTCGATCGTTAGAGTTATCAAACGAGTACTCAATTATTCGGTATAATTGTTTCAGCCCTACTTTAAAGCCCATCCTGGGCGAGTTCCAAGCCTCCCAAACAAACTTATTGTAATAGGGATTGCATCAAAAGTCACACATCAACTGAGATGTTGCGACTTTTGCGGCAATTGTAGAAGTAGGTGGCTCCTCCGAATGTTGGATCTCGCGCGTCCTACTGACTGACTGATGCTTGACTGAGACTCTCTCTCTCTCTCTCTCTCTCTCTCTCTCTCTCTCTCTCTCTCTCTCTCTCTCTCTCTCTCTCTCTCTCTCTCTCTCTCTCTCTCTCTCTCTCTCTCTCTCTCTCTCTCTCTCTCTCTCTCTCTCTCTCTCTCTCTCTCTCTCTTCTCTCTCTCTCTCTCTATCTATCTATCTATCTCTCCTCTCTCATCATGCAAGCGTCACACTCTCATGAAATATTTCTTTTATAAGACTGCATGCTTCACACTCTCATGTAATATTTCTTTCCTTTCTTCGTCTTTTCATGAGAGCATGGACAATCCACTTGTCCAGGCAAGAAGGCAGCAATACCTGTTCATTCTGGCGAAGTAAAATAAAATATACCAACCAACCAACTCACGACTGCCGTCTGGAGCATATGAGCAGAATGCTGGGCCGTCCACTCCTGCAAGAAGGCACCACTCCCTTCTCAATACACAGTGTTTCGGGGAATTCACCCCTCATCAGTTGCGCTTCAGTAGGCTAATGAAATTTCTGCTCCGAGAGCGCTGTGTTATGTAGTGCTCTCCCAGCCCAAATATCGCTAGGGATACCTGCGTACAGCAATACTTCCTTTCCAGCATGACAAACACTTTGTGAGCACCCAGCAGCAGTGCATGTGAGTCGGCGTCGTGCAGGAAACGAAGCGGCACTGTAAGTTGCCATACCTAGTGATGTTTTGACTCAGAGAGCAATCGGCGCTTTCTCGGAGCACACCTTTCTTTGACCTACACCAGCTTAACTGATGAGAGGTGAATTCCCGCCGGAACACGGTGTATCGAGCAGGGAGCGGTGCTTTCTTGCAGGCTTGCCGAATGGACAGCCCAGCAATCTTTTCGTGTTCTCCTGACGCCAGTCTTCAGTCATTCAACTGTTTAGAGCAGCCTTCTTCTTTTGACTAAAGCGGGATACACAGCATGCTGCTTTTCTCGATGTGATGCGTGCTGCGACACGATCTGTGACAGTGACCAAACCATTCACAGAAGAATTCAGCCATGTGCCATCAGTGAGGGCTCCGTCTCAGCCGCCTGTGTGGATTCACAGGAAGTGTGCGTTACAAAGTCTGAAGAGGATGTTGAACGGTCTCTGCTGGGATGACGATTATACCTCAGCTCAGTGGTAAGAGCACCGCTGGCCTCAAGCGAGGGTCTCTGGTTCCAATCCAGTTATCCTGGTGGTGACAGTCAATTTTTTCTTCAGGCTTTTCCCGTTTGTGTCTTTCCCTCAAACCAGTGAATGTCACCAAATTGTTAGGTCTTTTCTTCATCTGTTGGCTCCTGATCACGATGGTGTACTTCTTTTTCTCTGTGATGGTTGAAAGTGGCTGAAAACATTAAAAAAGTGTGCCCCGAATTTGCCCGACGTACCACGTGACTTTGCGACGGAATCGACCTCCACTTGTACATTCTTCGTCAAAAATTAAGTAAAGTATGTTTTGCTGGTCGCTCAATCAAGCTGGCCCAATGTACGGGCTGCATGTGTGCCGTGTGAACTCGTCCACCATAGCTACCCTGTTGTGCTGTCTTACAGAAGGCGAATGCCAAAACAGGGGGAGACTCATGTGGAGGTGCACCTTCAATTGAACACTAACTAAGTTTCATTGTTTTTGACTTCTTCCGTGACGAACTTCGTTCTATTTAGTGAGCATGAAAGTATGTGGTTTGACCGTGTCGTGTGGAGAACAACACGAGTATGAGTGCTTGGCCATCAAATAGTACCAGCCCACATCCGGCCGCCAATGTCGCTTCCAACCCGAGCCCCGTAACCGAGTGAAGACGATGACAATAAATTGACTGAGAGCGCAGATGACGAGCTCCGACGTACTAGAATAATGTTTCAGAACCGTGTGGGCCACACTGCAACATTTGATACAAAAAAGCATTCACAAATACGAGGCATATGTCTCAGTAATAGCGAACAAACTGATTCCACTCCTTCCTAGATCATAGAACAAGACGAAGAGCTGGAGCCTCTCGGACGAAGTACCTGTACGACAAAAGGTTGCTGACTTTGTTTTCTGTTTTCTCCCACTTCCAGTCATCGCAGAGAAATACGAAGTGCACCATCATGATCAGATGCCAAAAGACTACAAGATAAGTAAGCGACGAGGCGACAGCAGTTTCGAAATTGAGACCAAAAGGATGAGATGAATCGACATGTGAAACGACTTTATTCCAAAAATGCGAATTACATGTAGAAAAAATGTGCTGGACACTCATGGATTGACTTCTAACTAGTTTTCGCACAACTGTCATCAGGAAGAGTACGTTCGCAGCTTTCAACCAACAAGATTAGAAAAAGAATTGTTTTCTCGACAGTTCCCCTTTGATATCCGCTTAAACACCCCAAAATATACTTTCTAAGGATGTCGTTGTACCTGGCGACCGTCATCAGCAGGGATGCTTTCGTAGATGTCCAAAACCGCTTGGAGCGTGATGATGAAGACGCCCGGGAGCACTGTTTCAATTGTGGAAGTTCAAAGCACAAGTACACACACACACGCACACACACACACACACATACACACACACACACAGACATACACACACACACACACACACACACACACACACATACACACACATATACACACACATACACACACACACACACACACATGAACACACACACACACAGACACACACACACACACACACACACACACACACGAACACACACATAGATGAACACAAATTCCATTGTATCACCTTCGGTAAGAAGCATCCATGAACACAGGTATTTTGAAATGCTAGTCGGTTCATCTGAGCAGTTCTTGAACACTTGAAATCATGGCTGTCGCCACATGGTTCCAAATGGGTACTGAGAAATACTTTTTGCTTCATATTTTGCAAACCCCCAATGGGTTAATCAGCACCGCCCGACTTGAACCCGAATGGACTTGAACCCCAATGGACTTGAACCCTAATGTATCAACAAAGCCAGATTCGTGGGCATATCACCTGATGTGTTGAGCAACACATCAAGCAAAGACATTCGCATCGGCAGGTCACCACTTCGCCCATATATCCTCAGGGTCGAATGCAGACCTCACAAGTGAGCCAGGTGAGAAGGGATAAGTCTGCAGAACCACTGGCGTTTGCATGAGCTTTAAAGACTAGTTTCGGGGCCAAAAGACAAGAAACCAGCAGCAGCAGAAGTCAGGTCTGAAACTCTATTCAGGAGAAGGGTTGTCCCACACCAAAAAGGGAAGATAGAAATATTGTTCACCGATGTAAGGGTCAAAACGAACTTCAATACATACACACACACTCACACCTACAACTACACGCACACACACACACACACACACACACACACACACACACACACACACACAATCCCTTGACCTTTGACGACCCATCTCCATAGGACACGATAGGCTACTTAGGGGGGGGGGGGGGGCAGCATTTGAAGTGACAATCAAATCACCACTTCTCCTGAACGCTCTGCTGCATGCGCAGTGGAAGTCCTCGGGTGCTGGGAGAGGAAGACGATGCTGATAAACCCGCTCGCGCCATTCCGGGTGATCCTGTGCGAGGTGGTACCGCTTGGACTCCAGAATATCCAGTGACCGCAAATAACCAACAATCTTGTCTCGCCAACGCTTCTTTGGTCCATGCCGTGGTCCGGTTGCCTCAAGCTCCCCAAACAACACCTGTTGCGGAATCCGGGCCACGTCCTTATGGGCAAACATGACCCAGCGAACCCAAACGGTACTCACACAGGAGAGTGCCAATGTCTTCAGGAAGACAGGCTTTCTGGGCGAGGTCAGCAGTAGTGAGAGGACGGCCATGCTGGTCGCTCCTTGGCATCTTGACACTCCAAGAAAAGAGGAATGGAACGAGTGCACGAGCGGGGGAAAACATTCAGGCAATTCATCTGCCGGGCCTTCACAGGCCAGGTTTCTGCTCTGTAGAATAGGGCAGGGAGGATAATGTCCTTGTATACGAGACGCTTGGACTTGATGGATAAACCACTATACTGGAAGATAGACTTCTGGAGAGCGCCAAAAGCACGAGAGGCCTTGGCAAGGCAGGAGGTGAGCTACTTGTTCACCGCCATGGCCTTGGTCTTCGAAACGTGCACATGAAGTTAAAGCACAGGACACAAACTCGCTTGTCATCGTCTCCAGGTGGCCGAAAAAAGGTGGCGTAGAGAGCCGCATCATCGGCAAAATGGGACTCCGTGATATAGGCCGAGGCCAGCGAAGACTTGGCGGTCCGATCCCCAACAAGCTTCCTGCCGACACAGTAGCGGACCCATAGACCCGGAACAGAGGACAGGTGATGCCATGCAGAGACCATGGCAGAGAAATATAGATTGAAGAGCGTAGGCGTCAATATGCAGCCCTGACGCTGCTATTCCGGACATTGATGTTCTCTGTGACGACGCTAGAGAGCCAAACATGCGCCTCCATACCTTCATTGAGCGAGTGGACAACGCCAAGAAGATTCGGAGGAATCACCAGATTGCAAAGCCCAAGCATCAAAGCAGACCGCGGAATCGAAAAATAGCCCTTGCGCAGATCGACAAAAAGCACATATAGCTCAGAATCATGCTCCACTGCCTTCTCCAGTTGTCTCCGTGCTCACACACACACACACCTTGACCTGACCTTTGACGCCCATCGCCGGAGGCGATGATAGCAATGCTACGGCAGAAGCCAT